CGCAACTGTACAATTCAAAAACGCTTGTCAGAGAAATTTTCCAGTTTATGCAAATTTTTGAATGATTTTATAATTGAGGGGTGAGAGATAGTCTACTTGTACCCGCTTTTCTTCTTACTTTTTTCTTTCCTTATCCACCCCGAAACTTTCGATTCCCCCCATTTTCCTCTCTTTCTCCCCCATGAAATGTCTCTATCCTTCTTTCTGTTTACATAATTCCGGGTAAACAACGAGTAAACAGCCTTCTCTTGCCCTATCCCCATCTCCGATCTCTTCCCTGCCACATCCACTCAGACTCGCGTCTATTCTCGTCTCTCCCACACACAAATGCTCACCAATAAATTGGCCACACTGAATTTATTATCGTGTTTTTATTTTGTTTTGCTTTCCATTCTTTGAGCTATCATACTTTGAAACCAGCAGAACTTGTTCTTTTTGTAAGATGGTTGAGTGATCAACAGCATAAACACCGCAAGACAAACGAACTATCAGCTTTACTGCGCCAAAAATATATTTAGGTTTTGGAACATCTGTATAGAATAGACATGGAAAAAAATTCCAATCCTAACCTAATTCCACCATCGTTTTTTCGGCCGTTTCTTTGTCGATTGCTCTGAAATTTTGTCTACAGATAGAAATCGAAATTTCCAGCTTGTAGGCAAAATTTCAGAGCGGCCAAGAAAACAAAGGTAGAATTTTCCCATGTCAAGTACGGAATAGTATATATTGTAACTTATTACAGCTCATTCAAGTCAACGTTACAGATTCCCCATCTACCCAAATATACTGTCACTGTTTTTGCCTTTTCTGAACTCATCGATCTCTGCAATCCAATTTTCGGATCTAAAATCGATGGATTGATGTGGATGGGAGAAGCCAATTCCCACTCTCCCTCTCTCTCTTTCTCTCTCTCTCTTCTTCCTCTCTCTCTCTTCTTCTTCCTCTCTCTCTCTCTTCCTCTCTCTTTTCCCCTCTCTTCCACGTCGTGTTTATTCAGAATTGTCTAGCCATCACCATCTCGATTCCAAACAATTTCCTGTGAAATGTGTAGATTTTGAAAAAAAGAAAAGTCTTCTAAATAATGTACACAGGGCAATTGATTTCAGAAAACATTTGCAGATCGACAAACTGCAGTAAAAAGTTAACTTTGTACAGAAGATCTAAAGCTTTCAAAATCCAAACGTTAAGGTATGCTTAAGGGGTTCTGCTTTCAAAACTACCGTAATTATATGCCTGAAACTTTTCAAAGAAGATATAAGAGTGCAAATCTTGGCACGAAGTTGTCTTAATGATCTCCCCAACAGCTCTTTCCCCCTCACGATCTTTGCCTTTTTCCCCCAAGTTGATTGTTTATCTCAACAGACTACCCCTTATTTTTCCCTCTTTTTGTCACAAAAAAAGCTTTCGATCGAACAGCTGAGACTTGGCTGAAAACAAGAAAAAGATTGAGAACAAGAGAGAGAAAATAAAATGGACAAAAGTTGTTGTTGTTGAGCGATTCTCCCGAAAAACGAGTTCCTTCTTCTGTTCGACAAAAACCTGAGCCAAATGAAATGTCATTGTTTATTTTTAGTCCTAGCAAAACCCTCAATTTCTTACTGTATCTCAATCTTTATTCAATGTTTTGCGATTCATGTAATTCCTCGTGTTCTTCACACTATTTTCCCTCTTTTCAGATTTCCACGCAATAATCCGACGATGCATTGCGCGGATTATCATTTCTTGAGAAAAAGACGGGCAAACGAATTGTATAGATTATCTCGTTTACTGCATAATTTGACAAAACAGAAGACGCAGTGGAAGATTACTCATTTTTCTACTTCAACATCCAGACTTGGATAGTAGAAAAAGATTTGCTGAGGAAAGGGAACGAACCTTGGACTCTTCGACTAGAAAACGAGCCTGCTAACCACTAACGACACTGCTAACCATTCCTTTCATCATTCCCCGCCAACCAAAAATGATCTTGAGTTTCAAATATAACATTATAACAATATAACATTTCAAATCCTCCACTCAAAAACATTTCAGTGTTCTTAATGATCTGTTTATTTCTTTTTTTTCATTCACAGAGAAGAGTACTTCTTTTGCCTTTGTTCTCCTTTTTGAGACCCACCTGGGGATCAATTTATATCAAATTTCTATCTCTAATTTGCCAATTTTCCAAATATACTCTGTACAAATCACTCCTTTTTTTCCATATTTTGTGTATCAAAAAGAAATCGTATAATTGGTGGAGAGAGAGCTCTTCTTTTGGATGAAATGAGCACTTTCTCTTTTCCATTTTCTTTCTTTTTCTTTTCTTTTTTGTCTCCCGGGATTTTTCCCGTATGGTTTACTTAATTGTTTCTTTTCATCTTCTGGTTTCTCCAAATATTCCCTGATATTTTTCTCAGTTATGTGTTCCGAAAACATTGTTAATTTTCGACTCTCTTTCCCCTTGTAGTCTCAATGATCGATAGAAAGGGAAAAGAGGGGTTTTTTTGAGAAGAAAATTCAACGCTCAAAATGGGTAAAGGGACTTCCGTGTAGTATTCTTATTATATATTGGAAATCATGATAAAACACTATTCTTTGTGTAAAGTTTACAAACAATCAAAAAGAAATCGCTTTATTGGGACTTTCAGCTGTCCATTACTGCCAATGTAGAAAGTGAGAGCTTGTTCTGGTATGGATAAATTCGGATACCATTTTTAGTGGATCAACTTTCTTCTGTTAACTGATACCCTGTAGAATCGTATTCAGTCTTCATTGAATTTCTAATTCCAGTAAGCACTATGCAAATCTCATTACTGTATCACAAGTTGAACACGATGGTGCATCTTTTGTTGATCGCATTCAGTTAATCTTTTTGAGAAAATGACGAAATTCCTTCTCAAGGACGCCCCTTTTTTTTCAAAATCAAACGAAACTCTACGTTGTGTGTTTGGGGAAAAAGAAAAAGATTGTAGACAAGGAAAGTGCATGGTACCGAATATTTGGAAAGAAGGAAGGGAGGAAGGGGGGATGGGAGGAAGAGGAGGAGACAACGAGGAAGGGTTCATGCAAGGGAAATCGGCAAGAAAGTGCAGAAACGATAAAAGCTTTAAACTTGTGGATTTCTAGAAGTTGTTCAAAAAGAATTCACTGGGTAGGTAGCCGCTGAAGTTCCAGGAGGTCCAAAGGCCATAGGTTTTAATTTTCTAGCTTATTTCCATTCTATTAGGCTGTCCAGAAAGTCTTTTCGTACCTTTTCGTTCCTGTTTTTTTTAAACGAAAGTGATTTGGACATTCTGGACAGCGAAATCAAATTCGATGAAAGGTGCTAGTGTTGAGCTTAAGATAATGTTTAGAAAATAAAAGCAGGAATGCAAAAAAAGATGGAGATGGGTGGTTTCTAGGGGGAGATCCCGTTTGAGACATCTCCTTGTCCCTCCCGCCATACAACACCCGCCACTCACTCTCCTCCAAACTGTATGTTTTGCATTCCCTTCTCTTTTCCACAATCTTTCCCCCATTTCATTCTCATCTTCTTCTTCGTTTTTCCTCTTTTCCATAGATTTGACCCCATTTTTGGTGCGAGGCACCGCCTCAGAGACGCTCAGCTGGAAGGATTCGAAGGAAAACCGACGATCCACATCTCTTTACCCTAAAAAATTTTTCTCCTTTTTTTTACTCCCTGAAAAAGTTTGTTTTTCTGGGTACTGTCTTTTAGGTAAGGTAAGATAAATGAGGATGACCTCGAAAAGGGTTTTTTTTCATTTGTTTCTTCTCTTAACTGTTTATTTTTGTTTTTCGAATACAGTTGATTTGTTTGATCCATTTTTGAATTGCTACTTTGATCCAGTTTTAAGTTTTGATCCAGTTTTAAGTTTGAATTGCAAATTGCAAAACCTATTTGAATCCTCAATTGAATATCTTGGAATATCTTCATTTTCTCACAAATCCTTTGATTCATACAATTTCACCCCAATAAACAAAGCAAACGAAAGCAAGAAATTATCGATAAGTGCCGTGATAAGTCGATCAAACGAATCCTTCTTTTAAAAAAAGAATCAGAGTGATTTCCCTTTGAAGTGACGTCTCAAAATGGGTGAAATGGGTGGAGTATTTGTGAGAAGACTCACTGAGACTGCCTGTTGGCTCTGTGATTCACCGCAATCGCATTTTGCCCCTTGCAATCACCGTACTTGGCTCTTGTCTTTCTGCAAATGTTTTCTGATCTAATAGACATTCTTGTGTTTTTCGAAATGGCGCACAGTTTAAGCAATGTCGACTCTACAAAACGATGACCAAATTCGTATTTCGAAATCCATTTCCTTTTGACAGCCTTTTCCTCACTGATCTATCATTTTGCGCTTCTCATATCGATCCATTATTTTTATTCGATATTTTCTTCTCCAATTCCCTTCTTTTGCCTTCTTTTCCATATTTACGTCAATTTTTCGAATGTGCGCTCGTTTTGACCCGATTGATCTGTCGCGTTCAGTCGAGAAATGGGGCAAAAAAAAGAGTGAGAAAGAATATTGTTGTTTTCGAAAATCGCAAAAGGAAAAAACTTTTCCATCGATTTGCTTTGTTTTTCTTTCGCAAAAAAAGAGAGGAGAAAATTGTAGACAAAAAATGAATTGAAAGTTCGCATAAATACCGTAATCTTTTGTTTGATTAGTCTGTCTCTCTTAGAGCATTTCCTGAAAAGTGCGCTTAGGAAAAGCTACCGTACCCTTGTTGTTTATTAAAATTTTAACGTAGCGATTTTCATCTTGGGGAACGGTGTTACGGTAGCTTTTCCTAGAGTGAGCCTTTTAGTCTTGAGCCTTGAGCCTTTCAGACTTACTATTAGCCAATCTATGTTGACAGGACGTTATCCCCCTCAACTGGAATCATTAGTTCATATCATTTGAAAGCTATCAATTGTTCTCAATCTCTTATGTATAAAACTGATTTTTAAATCTTTTTTTTGCACCAAATTCCTTATTATTCTTTATTTTCTCTTTTCCAGATCAAAATCGATCCAATTGATGATTTCTGATGCTCGTCCACCCGATCCACAATTCGGAGATCAATTGCTCCTTTTGGCATTACAGGTAAATCTATTTTTTATTCAAAATCAAACATCTGAACTCCCCAATCTTTCGCTTATAGCTTCCTCTGATTAGTTAATCAACAAAAAGGTATTTTTTTTTGTTTTAATGACGGATCTCTGTTCTCTCAACTAGGCTACAAGTGATCCGGAATTAGAAATTTAACAATGAAACGCCGTTTTTGATGCAGAGAGCTTTCGGTTTTTCAAATTCTAACTGAAAAAATTGATAATTGCTTTTTAAGTGGTGACTTGAGTTTGCAAAAAAGAGAAAAGAAGGAGCGAGAATGAAAGTAAAGCTTTGAGGGGGATTAGAGTTGAAATAAAGCTATTGTTCAATGGAATTCATTAGTATATTGAATAGTTTATGGTTTTAATCAAACCCCAAACTATCCCTGAATTCAGGAGCGCTTGATGACCCAGCAGCGTGCCCCCTCCCCGCCACAATCTCAATCTCAACTCCCAGCCGCTCTCGCTTCATCACTCTCGAATTCCCTCGCCAACTCGCTTTCGCTCAATTTTGGCACCAACCTCAACGGACTCACGGCTCAAGTAGGATAAGTAAATCAAAGAATATGAGAAAAGGAAGACTTTAAATGTGCCAAGGACATTGTGTTTTTGCTGCAGCACAAGCAAGCCAACTCCAAACTTAAACCCTTATTTTTAAAAGCATTCCCTCTAGCTCTATAACAAGAAACCTACAAAAAAAACCCTCTCTATTTCCTCCCATCTCATTTTTATTCTCCAAAAACTAAACAAATATTATTATTTTTTTCATCACATATTGACATTGTTGACGAAAACATTCTCATTTTCTTTTCAGTTGAACGGTGCTGGATTGGGTCAATTGAATGGAGGATTGTCGAATAATATGGATGCAACGACTCGCCTCTATCAACAAATGATATTAGGATTAGGAGGATTGCCTTTCTTAGGGAATCCTCTCGATTTGGCTTCGTGTTTGCCTGGTGAGTATTTTATGGTTAAGAGAATATTGTTATAAGACCTATTCACAAAGTATACATCTAACTGGAAAGGCATTGGAAAACCCAGCTTGACTTGGTGCCTTTCCCTTGTAAGTAGATTCTAAAACTCCAATCTTCCTCTTGCATCACCATATCTTTAAAAATCCGGAAACTAAGGCTTTTATTCTGCCATACTTTGAAGCTTTGGCTTTATCAATCCACTCATTTACTTTAGCGACAAATTCCCCATGTTCCCCATTTTGTGTTCTCATTGTGTGGTCAATCTCATTTTCACCCCGTCGGCCAGGAAGTTCTTCTAGGTGTTTTCGTGATTCACCCATGGCAAAAAAGAGAAATAGGAGAAAAGAAAAATAAACGGGAGATTGATTCATGTCTCGATGGCAGGAGGGGGGAGAGGGAGAGGGGAGGGGAGGGTAGGGTAGGGTAGGGGAGGGGTAGGCCTTCTGCCCCTCTCTCATTGTATATGTGTGGTGTGTTTGTTTGTGCGCCTCGATTTTCTCTTCTCCTCTCTTTCCCCCTTTCCTCTGATCTTTCTGTCTCTCGAATTTCTCTCATACCTCCACTTGTTTACATTTTTGTGCCCTTCTCCCCTCCTCTTAGCTCCGAGAATCGACCGAGTTGCAAATATGAGCTGGCCGGCAAAAAAGGGGAACTGGAAAAAATTGGAGGCGTTGTTTTCGAACGGCATACTTAATTTTGAGGGGTAGGGATTGAGAAAATGAATTCCTTCTTTTAGAACAAAAGATTGGAGCAAGTTTTTGAAAAACTTCTTTGAACAAAACCGGAATTAGTCATTCGTAGTTGGGCCTTGGATGATTGGATTTTTAGAAAAAAGATTTACTGGATTAGATTTGTGAATTACAAGATGGTTTACTCACCCATCTATATGTCATTTTTGCGCTCCCGGCTTATAGTGTACTATGCATAAATCCAGGAGCTTAAAAATCGCTGAGAGCACACTCATAATTGAATGTTTTCATTAAGGACTTCTATCCGAAAAGAGATAAATCCCGTTGTTGATTTGCATCATTTTGTGTGCATCTTTTTCTTTTCTATGATTATCCCTTCTTTGAATAGCGGGGATTAGTTGAAATGAATCGGATAGATTTTCAATAGGAAGTATTCCTCTTTTTTTTTCAAACTTTTTTTCATCTCGTAAACATCACTCATGTTTTTGTGTACAAATTAGAAAAATGACAAAAATTCTCCGCATAACCTTTGAAATTTGTGACCAAAAGGGAACACCTGGGAATTGCGTGAGTGGAAAGATTGGAAAAAAAACGAATTCGATAAACAAGTTTCAAAGAAGGATACAATAAAAAATATGCAATCATTTGAGATGAGATTTATTCATATACATACAGTACTGGACAATGAAATATGATATTTGAAAAACGATCGTCACTTTCGCACGTCTATAACTCCCTTGTCTTTGAGTTTAAACTATTAGTGTTATACATTTTCTGAAAGCTCTTTTCAAGGGCTACACAATGGTAATATTAATATTTAGAAATACGGTAAAGACAAGGGAGTTATAGACGCGCGAAAGTGACGATCGTTTTTCAAATATGATATTTCATTGTCCAGTAGTGTATATAGATAAACAGAGATAAACAGAGATAAACACCAGAATATTCGCAATTTGCACGCGTACCTGGGGAAACAATGTTTTGTGTAAAATTCAAAACTTAAAATGATGGAAATAACAAGAAAAACCGATGCTTAACATAATTTGTTGCAGAAATTTCAGGCACCTCATCCTCATCACATCCATTGTGGAATCATAATATGTGCGGATGGCCTGGATGTGAACAACCATGCGAAAGCATTAACACCTTTTACAATCATTTGGCTCAGGTGAGACAATTTGTGGAAAGATTAGTAATAGGAAAGAGGCCATTTTTGCTGTAAGAATACAATTGATGGTTATGTTTTAATGATCAAATCAAAATCAAATCAAAATCAAATCAAATTCAAATCAAAATCCAGGCCCATCCACTCGATGAACGATCAGCGCATCAACTGCGGCAACAGATCGAGACTGTTGATGGATTGGAACATCGGTCGGTTTTGAGATTTCGATTGATATTTATGCTATAGTAGGGCTAAAATGGATGCTACTCTAATGACAGATTAACAATGAAATAGATATCTTTTTAGCAATCATTCATCCTTTCCTTTAGATTAAGCAAAGAGCGTACTCGTCTCCAAGCGATGATGCAGCATTTGCATATGAAAACAACCACCGAAACCCCCACCACTCCGGCCACAAAAACGGTGAGTTATCACGATTAGACTTTTTCTTTTTACATTTCTTTTTTCCATTTCAACCTCTCCTCTTTTTTTGTTTACTCATTATGAGAAAGCGTCTCTCTTTTTTCTTCATTTCTCTCCTTTTTTTCACTCTCCAAACGAGGGCCTAATCAAATTGACAGCTTGTAATTGTAAACATTGTTATCGGGTCTCTCTCTCTCTTTTTCTTTCTCTTTTCTATCAAAGCCACTCTATATTTGAAACGTTTTTGTGTAAACACGGCATTTTCTCGCAGTTTCTCTCTTTTTCTTTCTTTCTTTTTCTCTCAATTGCTTCCAGCAAAAAGTTGGGGGAGTGAATTTGACGAGAGCTCATGGGGAGTTCGAAGAAAATATATCAGAAATTGTGTTTTGGTCAAAATGAGAACAAAGAATGCTTTTCTAGGAACCGTTGTCACCGATGAGGAGTCCGAAACAAGAAATGTTTCCGATACAACAAATGTCACCCAATCAGACATCGGTACCGACAACTGTGCAAGAGTTGCTGGCACAAGTACAGGTTTGTGGGATTTGAATAAATAAATGGAATGAAACAAACTACCGTAAATACTGTAATAGTACCCCAGCCCCCTCGTACAGTCGCGTAGTCGCAAAAGTTTTTTAGTATTTCATTTTTTTCAAAGCGCCCGTACTTTCAAAAAATGCGTCTTTGGAACCAAAAAATAGCTGCAATTCAGGGCTATTTTTTGATACCTAAGCGCACATTGTAGCATAAACCAGTGTCGAGAAAAACTCGTTCAAAGCTAGACTACGCAACACTCCGCACCGTCATTATGAGGGTGGGGTACTATTACAGTATTTACGGTATCTATAGAATGGTAAGATTCAAATCATATAGAGAGAATCTTTACATTGCCTAAACCTGGATTCATTATCTCTTTAGTTTAAGCTTTCGTAACCCTGGAAAAGGCCAACGAGACTCTCTCATTTGCCAGTTTTTGGGGGAAAGGGATGGCTCGACTCGGCCACGTAAACATGTAAACAGAGCCACGCCGGCAATTCTCCCGCTCTCGACCTAGAAAAAGAGAGTAGAGGAAAGGGGGAAGAGAAGGGTTGGCGATTGGCCAGACGAACAACAACACACACATTTGGGGATGGGAAGAGGGAAGGGGAGCACGCGCATCTTCCTTCTCCCCTTCTCTTGCCGCGAGACGTCCGCGGCGGCCCCGCAAAGGGTCACCTCTCTCTCTTCTCTCTTCTCTCTTTCTTCTTTTTCGTGAGAAAAACTTTCCCCCACCCACATCGACACAAACAAAACCAATCTCTTTCCCCATTCGAATTGAATCATGACGGGGACCTATTGCAAATGAAAAGCAAACAGTTTTTCTTTACGAATTTGATGTTGAATGTTTGATTTTCAATAAAATAACACCATTTGCTAAACAGTTACTTCTTATCAGTTGATTGGTTGAAGGGAAGAGAATAAAAATGAAAAAATGATTTTGAAATGGTTGAACCCGATACATTTCCATACTACAAATCATGAAATCACAGAGTTGAGAAAGCTCTGAAAACCCTTAAATCAATATCGTACTTTAGCCGAGTGTCTCCTCAGCTTCAGTGTTTCAATCGACTTTCACGATGAGCGATGACATCAAAGCGTCCACAACCGTACCCTCAACAACAACCACGACAACCTCATCTTCATCGAGACGATCTCGGATATCTGATAAGGTAACTTGTTTTACTAATAGATTAGCAATGCTGACTTGTATATGGAGAATGATCGATTTCATTTTCTCGACCCTATTTTGTGTCTGTGTTTGAGTTTTGTGTGTAAACGTGGTGGTCAATAAAAATATGGCACATGATGAATGGAAAAGAGAGGAAAGGGTTGTGGTCTAGTAAAGGGTTCAAATATCGGAAGGGATTAAAGCAGAAATTGAAATACAGTACTGTGATTGCTCAAGCACTATCCGTAATGATTGTAACCAGAGCTACCGTACTGAAGCCACAACTTGCCTCCTATTGAACTGGCAAGAAAATATTCAGTTGGACTTCTTTGCATACATTTGTTTTGTACTTTTTTAGTAACAATTTTGCCAAACTTTAACCCACAATTTAAACACTTTTTAATGACAGTTTTCGAAAAACTCAAAAACTATTGGTATCTACAAAGCCTAAGCTATCTAATAATGCTTTAAAGTCAAAATTGGACACGTTTAAGATAAATAAATCAATGACACAAGGTTGGCACAAAATCGTTACCCCCGATACTAAACAAGTATCATTTGTTTTAGACAGCCCAATCAACGCTCCCAATCGCGACGGATATCGCACGTAACCGGGAATTCTATCGAACAAACGATGTCCGTCCTCCATACACATACGCGTCTCTCATCAGACAAGCTATCATGGAAAGTCCCGAGTGTCAGGTGAGGGGAAAGTTCACATAAAATTCTATTTAAATTCAGTAGTTCTTTTGTTATAATTCTCAAGATCAATTTCCAGCTTACCCTCAACGAGATTTATCAATGGTTCCAAGAGACGTTCGCCTATTTTCGACGAAATGCCGCCACGTGGAAGGTGAGTTTTGAAAGTTATTTTAAACGAAAATCCACAATAACAAAATGCTTTTGGATTATCTATAAGTAAAAAGGATTTCTTTTACATAAAGAATACCTCATCTGTTTTTGATCTGGTTTTACGTAAAAGATCGTGTTGCTCTTTTGCAAGCTGTTTTGCAAGCTGCAGAAATGATCATTGTTATCAATCTTGATGAGTAAACCCTAAAGAGATAATTGACTTATTATTAGTCACACTACGAGAGATCATGTAAATACTCCATTTTCTCTTTCCATTGTTGCTCTAGAATCTTCAAATGTATCTGTAGACTACAAAGTTTTTCTATAGCTTATTTTCTAAACAGCAAACCTGAATGGGGTTTTCTTTTTTTGATCTCAAAGCGACTATTCATTGATCTCATAGTGACGCATCATCAACTTTTCCCTACAAATCCCTCCATGATCCTTCTCATCGAATGATCACATGTTTATTGAAAGGAGCAATTCCCTTCAATATTTGTTGATCTTTTGTTGTTCTATCATTTTTAGCGATAATCCTGATTATGTAGTGAGTTGCAAGTTGTGGATGTGATCTCCAGGATTCCTCGCAGGATTCCTCTTTCCATTCCTCAATTTCCCCTCTGATCCCCTTTATTTTCTTCATTTTCTTAATCTTGTCTTCTTTGATGAAAAACATACAAAAATATCTCTTTCCTTTTTCATCTTTAACCTCAGCATCTTTTTATCTTCTTTTTCTATCTGTACATTCTCTAATCTCTTTTCATATAGATGGATTAATTTGAGAGGATTGTAAAATGGTAAGATGAGTAAAGGTTTTTCAAAAAAAAATAAGGGATTCTTTAAAAATACTGCAAAATGAGATCATGATGAAGTTTATAAATTGGAATACCTGAAAAATGAACGACTTTCTGACTTCCAACTTCCAACTGGGCATTCTTGCATAACTTGCATCCCTGCATTAACTGCCTAATATATTCATCCTTGTTTCCTTTTTGTTGTTTTCTCGAAAGAAAACCGGAACTTTTCTTCAAATTTCACCCCAATCACAGAGCTGTTTACCAAAGAAAACCCTTTTTTTCTCCTCTCCAATTCACTCACAATCAGTCAGCTGACCATTTTATCGATTTCCCCCAAAAAATCACAATGAACTCGTTCCTTTTCCCGAAGATAAATGTGAGATCAGTGAAATCTTTCTATCAAGCAGTACCACTTCGATTCAACAATTGCACTTTATCCTGATTTCAAAAATTATAATCATTTTGAATGGATGATTTGAGGGAGATTTAATTATGCCGTAAAAGTACACAAATTCCCATGAACTCTTTTCGTGAAAAGATCTTTCTTTTTCTCATCTAAAACGGGAAGTCGGCTCGAGGGGAAAGTGTAAACAAATAAATGTGAAGGGAAATTTATTTCAAGAATTGAAAAACGGAAAACAAAAGGGACTTTCAAGAAAAGTTTGAAGAAATTAAGAGAATCGTGAAGTATTGAAAAGTTCAGTCAACTGTCTTCCATCGATGAGTAGAGTTCCAGACAAACATATTTCACTCGTAATTTCTATTGCTATACTTGTAGCTGATATTTAAGCTTTATATAATATTCTACAAATTACAATACTCTCTTAACATTATATTTTCAGAATGCTGTCCGACACAATCTCTCCCTCCACAAATGTTTCACGAGAGTCGAGCAAAATGTTAAAGGAGCCGTTTGGACGGTCGATGATTCTGGTGGGACGGTCGATGATTCAAAAATAAACCGTATTTCAAAGATCTTTACCTTAGTTCAGACTATATTGAAAGACATAGCTCTAACAAACAAAAGTGCAACCAAAAAAACGGAAAGTCTGCTTGCTCTTGTTTTGTACTTGACGTTGATGACCTTAAGAAGTGCAATTATTGATAAAAATGCATAAAGATAAATAATTTCAGAATTCTATCGACGAAGACCACAACGAGCTTCAGTGACAAGATCTCAGCCACAGACTCCAGCTCTTTCAATAGCCGATTCACTCCTCACGCAGAGATTTTTGGATCAGACAGCACTACAGTTGAGAGGCGCTGATGGTAAGACATCAAATCACAAAAACAAACTAATTGTTATATTAAAATTCTAAAATCTAAAATGATTCTTCTAGGCTCTTTGATGACTGATGGAGATATTACAAACAATGTGCTCTCATTTTTGAACGGTGAAAATCCATTATCGTTACTCTCAGCCGCCGCAGCCGCGCATTCGATCGATGGTGATGGGACAAGATCTGAAGGTTTGAGATCATTTTTGAGCATTTCAGTATTTCAATATTATACGGTTTTAGTGCATCGTAATGTACAGTATTGTACTTTTATTATTATACAATTGATTCTAGGTCGAGCCGAGATCGATTTGGAGGAGAATTTCGGCGAAGGAGTGGGCGGGCGACACTCTGGATCAGATGGGACACCTGAGGAGAATACGCTGATAATTGAGGAACAACATTGAGCAACTTTAAAGATAACAACTCATTCAATGTCATTGCTTTCAGGAAATCATATTGTAAAACAAAGATTTTTAGAAGATTTCAATAGTCACAGCTTTCCTGACAAGTAAATAAAAAGAGAAATGACTCGAAGAAAGCGATGACATCTTCCATCTCTCTTCCATTCAATTCTATCAATCAATTCTATCAATCAATTCTATCAATGAAATCTATCAAAAACAATCCTCTGTATAGATCTCGATAATCTATACGATTTTTATATATTTATTTCCTTTCTTTTGTTGTTCTTTCAATCATTTGTTCCCCAAAAGTTGATCTTGTCAAATAGGTATCTTTCAATTTTCTCAAAAGACGACAAAAATCCTCAATTCAATTGTAAACACCCAGTTTTTTTCCCCTTTAAAATGTAGCTAGGTTTTGGAAATTTCCTGTTTTTATCGAATCACATCATTTTATCATGCAAAATATATTTCTCAATTGATATTCCCCGTTTGTTTTCCCCATTCATTTCCGGTGGTGCAATTAGAGTTCTGGTTAGCAATGTCCGCTCTTCCTCAAATTATTTACCCAATTTCATTTTGGAGTTTTCTTTTTGTTGTTTTGTGATCAGGGAGTGGTTGACAAGACAAATTTTAAAGGATGACAACTGGATTTTCTAGGTAGTAGTTGACAAAAATAGATAGCTACCTTCTAGATAACCTGACTTTTTAAGATACTTTGGTAACTCAAATTTATTGATCTACCTAATCTAATAGCTAGTTTATGAAAAAGAGCAGCCGAAAAACCCGCCTAACGGACAAACAGACACTGCTCTTTTATATAGATATTTACAATCAGTTTAACAACTAGACATGGCCCGAGCGGCCTTGAATTTCTAGATTTGTCGTTCCGGGACAATTCCGGGTCGTGTCCTTACCTGTGAGTCCTAATCCATAAGCCGACCCGAATACAATCTATCCAGTCCCTTGTCAATGACTCCCTCTCTCCCTTACCATCAACTCGTACCCAAATTGTTTTTTTTTCAAGAATTCCATCATTTTGTCTTCTTCATTCATTTCGTTCGTTCTTTCGTCCCTTTCTTTCTCTCTCTCTCATTTCCTTTTTCTTCATGTCTCACTACCGTACTTCAGCACATCCAAGCACACATACACATTGAAATCGGCCCCGATCTGTAGAGTTAATTTCTTTCAACAAAATAAAACCCACTTTTGCATGTTAACTGAGCAAAAGATATTCGGTTTAACTTTTTTAAAATTGTAATCCTTTCACCTGAATATCTTTTTCTCGCATCCCATCAATCATTTTTTTTCATCATCACTCGAAAAGCCATTCCGAAATGTTCTCAAAAAAAAACTCTTCAGTCCCCAAAAACTTTTCCGCCAATTTCCTCTGTTCACCTTTGTCTCCCAATTAAGGTTCGGATTTGTACGCATGCTGGTACTTACTCTTAAATTCATGTATAAAGTTTTATGATATGAATAATCAACACACGAAAAGACAGAGCCAACACAAATAGTAATATAAAGCTTTGAACAGGCGAAAGCGAGAACAAGTGTACAAGCAAGTACTCTAGAAACTCTTTGAAAATATACCCTAAAGAATTTTAAATCTTGTACCCAGGAAGCTTGAAATAAATTATTTGCTTTACCCATGTGCACATCTAAGCTACAGATTGTTGTTGAGGGGTTTGAAGAGTCTGAATAGAGATAGAGATAGAGATAGAGAGAGAAGTCTCTTTCCATCCATCTTTCCATCCATCGTTTCCATAGAGACGATCTCCCATCGAATGGACACGAAAGTGAAAGAAAAATGAAGAGAAATCACACTGATCAACCAGGCAAAGATACCTTTTTAATACAAATACCAAAGCCTTAGTTTAAACTACCTTTTGCTTTATAAGATGACTGATTGTGAGCTTTTTCTTTTCCAAAAAAAGTTGTTGCGGTTATGAAACTCGTTTTTATGGCTTTTCTATATGATTTGAATGGCAATCAACCTTTCTAGAGACTCGCTTCAAAGTGGCGTCGACAGGCGGAGGAGACGAGAAACCCGCAAAGCCACCAGTGGATGCAGAAGAACAAGAAGAAAATGAAAAAGACGATTCGGATAGAATATTCAAGGCTTGCCTTATAATTTTAGCAAATAGACTCTAGCAAAGAATATCGAACGCTTAAGAGAAAGCGACTCTATCTAGATTTTTCTAGATAGTCGTTTGTGGTGATGGATCTTCAGGGAAAACATCAATTTGTTCCCGTTTCTCGCACGATCATTTTGACAAGAATTATCATCAGGTAATCAGTATGAGAATAAAGAATTTTCTTTTCTTTGCAGACTCTTGGATTAGACTTTTTCTCTCGACGATTGGGGCTACCTGGAGAGGTTCAAGTGTTGTTACAGGTACAACTACAGCACTGGACAATGAAATATCATATTTGAAAAACGATCGTCACTTTCGCGTGTCCGTAACTCTCTTGTCTTTGAGTTTAAACTATTAGTCTTATACATTCTCTGAAAGCTCTTTTCAAGGGCTACACAATGGTAATATTAATATTTAGAAATACGGTAAAGACAAGGGAGTTACAAAGTGACGATCGTTTTTCAAATATGATATTTCATTGTCCAGTAGTGTATAAAAAATCTCAATCAAAATATCATCAAAATATCATTGAAAGGTTTGGGATATTGGTGGGCAATCAATAGCGGGTGAAATGTTGGAGAAATATGTCTATGGAGCAAATGCGGCACTGGTTGTGTACGATGTAACAAATTCTGGTAAGTACTGTAGTCATAAATCATGAAAACATACTACACAGTTGAGCGCAAAACAGAATAGTTTTGGTAATCGATGGAAACGTCAATTTTTACAGGCTCATTCGAAGATGTGAGCGATTGGGTGAACGCGATAAAGCGCATCACAAAACAGCAAGAAAAGGTGCGAAATGTTGAAGTGGATAAAAATTTGAGATCATTTCAGCCTCCCCGATTGGCATTGGTGGGAAATAAGACTGATCTCGAGCATCGACGAGTGATTCGAATCGATAAACATAACAAGTTCGTTGAAGAAACAACTTACAGAATAGTTCAACAGAACAGAATCCCTATGCAGCATTTAAAGCTATTTTTCATACACATCCTATTGTGCACCTAGAATAGTTCTCGTTTTCAGATTTGCTGATGAGCATGGGATGACCAGTTTCTATGTTTCAGCGAAAACCGGCGATAGTGTTACGTTGATGTTTAGGTGAGTGAACGAAGTTATACTTGATCGCGTATGGAATAAAATTGAGTACGGTAGGGATTTTTGAGCAATGATGTGAAAAAAAATGTTTACTTATTGGTCAAAAATATTTGTTTGGATCAAATTGGTACTGTGCTTTGCTTTTCTTTTCTAGTCTCAACAAATCGCAACAACGGAATCCGGCAAGGCCGACCAAATTAATGGGGATAATCTTGAGAGTTGAGATGGATTCTAAAATAACAAAGGAAAAACAAGAGAGAGAGGGAAATGCAGAAAGATGCACTTTTGAGAAGGACTGAATTGAAGGGAAAAGTGGTGAACGTGGGCACACTTGCTTACCAAAAACACCGCTTGGGGACCGACAAAATATTCCCAAACCAACACTCACACGGATTTACCAAATTTGATAAACCGAAAGTTAGAATGATTTTCTACGTTCCTTTATACAAGTGTATTAAACATAAATTTCAGACAAATAGCTGCTGATCTTGTCGGCGTGGCTTTATCAAAAACTGATGTCGAGAGTGATATTGTCATTGTTGAAGGAGAAGTGAGTAAAAAGTTCAATATAACTCTGTTATTAATAACAGATTCCTTGAAAGTTCATTCAAAACTTTCAGGTAACAAAAGAAGAAAACCCCGTCAAAAGACGAGTCGTTGATCAATCGAAAAACACTGCTGTCTGCTCAATTCAATGAAAAACTTCAAAGACTGTCAAAACATTGTTATTTCTCGGATTGAATCTTTTTATAAATTTTTTTAAATTCAAAATATTTATTGGTGCAATTAAAGAGCACGACCTGTTAAACGTGAAAGCGAAAGCCTTTTCAGTTTGTTTCTTCAGGTTCTTCTCCTTTGACACGATTTGATTGAGCCTTCAGAACTGTCTAAAGCAAATCTTAATTTTAAAAAAGACAGATCAAGATCAAATAGAAATAACATTTTTTAAAATTCAAATTTAAATTCATACCTGTATAACTTTCTCCGGGAATCGTTTCCTTTCTCGAGCGATGCACATTGCACAAAAGAGGTTACCGAAGTAAACGCTACAGCTCTAAAGAAGTTTTAAAATAAAATTTATTTTTAACTTGTTCTTTTTTTCTGCACATCTGCTTACTTACTTTATCCAAACACACTGGTGATGAACAAAGAGAACAAGGACCGCCGAGAACGAGAAAATCCGACAACAATGGTTTTCTTCCTAAAACATTTAGCCATTTCTCTAACAGTAAACACAAATTTTACCTTTGATTCGTGGTCTTGGCGTGAACGGATCTCTCATGAAATAGACTGGGAAGGGATAACTAAAAATGAATAATTAGAATCATTCAGTAAAGACAAACTATCCATCGATGGTCTTCAACTCCGAGTAGATGCATTTCTCCATTTGTTGGCATATCGAACAAGTGAATGGAACATATGGATCGATCAACAACGGATTCTCATCGGGTGGAATGTCATCTTCTGTTGAAACGCTAAAAAAGCTATTTTATGATTGAGAACAATAACTGTTATACCGTTAATGCACAATTATTACCACCCCGTTTTATTGATTATTATTGATTATTATGGTGATTGTTACCACAAAAATAACGAAAAACTTTAGTGTACATTACATTTTTACTTAAAATTTGCAAAAAAAACAAACCTAGGTTGTGAAGGCTGAACCGGTGTTGTTGCGGAAGGCTCGTGTGAAGGTTGAGCAACAGACGAACGCGTTACGTTTTGAGAAGATGACGACTCGCCTAAAGCAATAAAAATTAGAGAAACCAAGATAACGTAACCAAATGAACTTAAAATCTAGTTAAAGCTCATACAAAGTTAAAAGATAACTTGTCCAAAACTGCTTCAATTATTATTATACTAGAAATCGAAAAACACCTTGCAATTCGGGCTCCGCGGGCTCAGTTTTTACTTGTTTCGATGTAGATTGGTTCATTTGTAGCGGGTCGATCACCTAAACGTAAAAATTAATCAAAATTTCTAAATTACAATATGGAAATAATTGAAAGGCCTAATGAGGAACGGGATTTCAAAGAAGACGCTCCGCTCAAATACAAACAACGATCACATTGGGGATTTTCGTGAAAAAGAGAAAAGTCGCGTCGTTTTCTCAGCTCTCTCACAGAAAAACTCTCAAAGTCCCTGAGAAAAAAACGCTTGTTTGTGGACAAATTGACTTTCGCTTTATTGCTTCACCGCCTCGCAAGCATAAAAACATTTTTTTCTAAACTAAAAATTATTCAATGGCAACTCGTTTGAAGGATTTGGTAATGTAAAGGAATGGAGTTTGATTATGATGATTCGACGGCAAAATGCCTTCCTTCTCCCTATGATAATGGAACCGGAAATGGTTGGTTTGGCAAAAAGATTAAAATTTTAGTGAAATCGACTTGCGTTTTCTATAAGTTTAGATTAACTTTACTGGAAAATGCATTTAGACACGATGATTGAGACACAAAATGGCGGTTTTGTGAGTTTATTGAAAAACGACTTGGTTCGATTGTTGCAATTCGTCGAACAAGAATTGGAGAAACGAGATGATTGCATACAAAAGTTGAAAGTAAGCTGGAACTGTTTGAAAGAAAAGGAAAAATGAAATTGAATATGAACATTTCTAGACAAATAGAAATGACTGCTATTAAACCTTAGCTCTTACAGGATGATCGAACACGACAAATGCTCTTTGAAGCAAAATATGGGCGGATATCGATGAATGATCCGCTTGTTGCATTGAGAAGAGATAGTGAAGTAGCTGGGGAACAGATCGATGAAGATGCTATTGGACGGTAAGTTGAGAACACTCTGAATAAGAAGTGTCTATTTAATTGCCAATATTATTGAAAGTATTTCAGGCTCTATGAGTCACAACTCGTTCAACTCGAGAAACTCATCGCTGCTCAGAAAAAGTCGCACAATCGAGCGAAAATGGTTTGATAAAGTAAGACTCGACTTCGAAAATCATTTCAGATTTTGTCAACAACTGAAAGACGACATGCAAAAGCACTCAAAGAATTGGAATTGGAGAAAGAAAGGAAATCTCGGTTAGGGGAAAAACTGTTTTATCAATAAAAAGAAAAATTTCAGATACGCAGCCCAGGGTGATGATGTTGTGGCGTTTCTCGAAAATGAACGAGCCAAGTTGCAGCAACAGGTAGGGTTGTAGTTAGAGATAATGTAAAATCCTAATCTACAGTAGCTTTACAACAGAACAGTTACCCATTTTAGGTTGAGTTTCAAATTGGTGAGGTTGCGAATGCAAAGGTGGAAACCGAGAAAGTCGAGAAGAAATTACAAGTTGAAAAAGAAAAACATAAAGTTTGGAATTTAGTATCAACCAAAAAAACTAACACAACCTAGGCAATGATTCTATTCTTGATCAACGAGCGAAAGCAGCTTCTGTTGAAAATCCACGAGATGAGACTTAAAGGAGAGCCGCCAAATGGTTTGTTTAAAGTGAATTTGAGAGTCAGAAAATGTGCTAATAGTAAGAGAAAACTGTACGAATAGATCACTTTGAAAATCCTGTATAAACAAATTGTGAGTAAACGAAGTACAAATACGATTCAGTTCCCGATGGATATGATGTGAGCATGGAGGAGTTGAGAAGAGAAGTTGAAAAGCTAAAAATCGAACGCGACACACTTGGAAATGCAAATAAAGCGCTGAGAGCTGAGAATTTATCATTGAAAGTAAGCTATTTGAATGTAAAGAGAGATGAGTCGGATTAGGAAGTGGTGAGGGGACACGAAGCTGATCTGTTACTCCTACGAAGGAATTTGATTCGCAATCCAGCAGAGGTGGGTACACGATTAAGGTTTTCTATAGAGTTTACAATATTACAATACATTACTCGAATTTCAGCTCACAAGCGCCGGCGTTGAGGGTTCTCTTGTGCTAGCCAATCGAATGTCCTCCACTCCATCAGCTACCCTTCCCGGTCCATCATCCCGTCCCACATCACGAATCTCCACTTCTTCATCTTTCCCATCATCGACAAATGATTCAAGTCGATTACCCCGAGCTCCGCCCACACAAATAATTGCAACAACTATCACGCCGGCCAGGTATACTTTTTGGACTTCGGAAATAATGCCGAAGCCCTGTATTTAGGTCAAAACCAAATCCCCCAATGACCAGACTGCCTTCAACTCCGACCGCCCGCAATCCACAGTCTCCCACCAAAAAGACGCCAGCTATGGGAGTTGGAGTGAACAGTGTTCGCCAACAACGGTATCCATCACTAAAATCTCTTCAAATCTTTCCATTTCAGTCCAATCTCTGTTTCCACGCCACAAGTGCCCACAACGCATCGATTCACGGCTGAACCCGAGCTACAACAACTCGAAGAAGCCATCCATGAATTAGAGATGACTTCTAGTGGTGAGAAGATAAGAAAAGGAAGCGCTTGAACGTCAGCAATTCTTCCAGATCCATCTCCAACTTCATCTTTCACAAAGGGAAAAACCGAACCGAGACGTGTGGAGATACCGGTGAAATCACCGAATAACACTGCACAAATAACCACAGCCACCACAGCCACTGTCAAGTGAGTTTATGGAGCCGTTTAGAAGGCTTTACTTCTAAATTAGTAAATATAAAACCTCTTCAAAACTCATTATACTTTCACGATTTACTACGAAACTCATCATTTTCAGAGCTTCGATCGCGAAAGCGCCAGAAAAACCGGCAGAACGAAAGCTCTCGGGAACGATCAAAAAAGGATCTCTTTTGAAAGCTTTCTCTGGTAAATGACTCAATCTAGTTTAGGGAACATTTTATTTAAAACAAATTTTCACCGAATATCTTTCTTGGCACTTTTAACTCTTCTTCAAAAACTATATACCCAAGTCTCAAAATCTAGCCAAAGCCCAGACTTAAGTTAAGAGATTTCCTTATTTTTAATAGATTATTTTGATTGTGTTGAGATTGAATCTTTTAACTTCCATAATTCCCCAGCATAATTTCAGTTAACCTAAATCTCTTGATCCTTTCCCAGACGATATTTCGCCTTTCATCATCCCCACTTTTCAGTTGTTCTCAAAGCATTCATAAATTTCAGTTTTCATTCATAAAATTGATTTCTATAGAGTGCTATTTTGTGTGCAATTTGGTACACATTTCATCACGTTTCCCCCGTGTTCTCTTAGGCGTTTTTCACGCAATAGATTGGTGTTTTTGTGTGTGCCTTGTGAGATAAAATTAGCGTTTTATTCCCCTTCTAGATTCCGTTTGTACACAGTTTTGAAGTGAGAAATTCTATGTATTGGATAAATATATTTCAACGGATAACAATGCAAACTACATAAAAATGCAAAACTCTAGCTGATAGTGAGCTGGACACTCAACTATTTTGCTTTTCTCTGAACATCTAGGCAGCCAATTTTAATCCACGAATACTTCCGGAGGGCCCGAAAGCGCGGTGCGCCCATATTGACATTGATATTGTACGCGAATGTACAATATTGATTAACGAGTCCCTCGAATGAATTGAAAGTTAATATTGTTGACAATTACATGACAATTCTTTTTATCAATTGTTTCACCGGACGGAAGAAATAGACATCTAGGGGCTGAATCAAGCTCGTTGTTCCCGGGGAAATTTTTGCGATATCCAAATTGTATCCTTAGGGCACTGCTTGCTTCATGAAGTTGTGGTGTTTTAATGTTGTCTATGAATCTAAAAGTAATGTGTACTTTGCTGCTTCAAATTAAGGTATTAAAGGTCGCTTATTTTTTTATATGATTTCTATCGATATATTCTAATACGATAAAATTTGAGAAGAAGCCGTAACGGATAAGAAGAATCACTATTTTCTGTAATGAAATCGTACAAATGAAAAAGAATGTTTTTCTGTTAAAAATTTGCATGTTTTCTCAACAGGATTACGGTACTCTTTTTTTGGGTTGTGTTTTAGAAAACGTATTAATTGCGAGGAAAAAACTACAGTTTGTTTTCAACATTTTATATTTTTTTTCATGAAAACTACAGAATCCCATGGTAGACCGTAAATGAAGAAGAAAGAAAGAAAGAAAGAAAGCATTTGATGGCGGGTGATTACTCCGTGAGAAGCCGTGTTTCTTTTAGTAAAAGAAACAACCGGGATGCTGGGGTCGAGAAGCTAAGTAGAAGAAAAGAAGAAAAGAGGAAAAGAATGGGGAATAGACAGAGTGGTGATCTTGAAGAAAAGGAAGGGTATGAAGAGGTGAAGAAGAGAAAATAATAGAGAGAAAGCACGGCATCAAGAAAGGAGAAGCCACAGAGTGAAGGGCAGACACACAGAGTGCCCACGCCTCCTTCTCTTCTTCTCTTCAGTGGCCCCCTCCGGCCGCGCGACGAGACATCGATCCCCTCTCTGCATCCATTGCTTTTCCCTTCTACTCTTCGTCCCCTTCCACTTCTCCCCGTTTGTTTCTATCAAATGCCGCTGTTCAAACGTCGTGATGGCGGCTCGATTCGTGATCGCTTCGAGTTTCGCGACGTCCTTGGAACGGGTGCCTTCTCAAAGGTGTGTTTCGGTTTGATCAATAAAGATTACATTGATGCAGGTATTTCTTGCCGAGTGTAAAGCCGAGCCTGGTCACCTTGTTGCGGTGAAATGTATAGACAAGAAAGCGTTGAAAGGAAAGGAAGAGAGCCTCGAGAACGAGATCAAAGTGCTTCGAAAGTTTGTTTTGCTTACTTGTCTTATAAACGACAAATTTTCTACCCGTCATAGCTTTTGCCTTTCTAAGCCTCAAATATCAAAGTTATTAGTGACTCACTTCAATAATCCAGTTTTTTGATATTCAACCCAATCTACTAAACTAGTTAAACCATTAAACTAGCAGGCTTTAAAGTTTACGTTTAAGAATTCAGCCAACAAGATTATTTGTTTTCAAATTGCTCAAAGATAATAAATAATGATGTTATTCTTTTGATCAAGAGGAAAGATAAAGACCCTGACAAAAGCCAACTAAATTCCTGCTGTCATTTTGTTTCTTTCTCTCACATTTAATATTTATACATGGATGTGATGAAACAAAAGGAGACTAGTTATGACTTTCACCCATTCCATTCCATTCCATTCCATTCCATTCCTTTCCTTCATCCTTCCCTTCAACATCAAGGGATCACCCTTCCATGAGATGAGGCTCATCCCCTTCTTGTCCACTCTTCACCTCATCCCATCCTTCCCCCTTTCCTCGTAATCTCATCATCTCTCCTCTTTTCCATCTTCTTCTTTCCTCTTTCCTCTTTTTCTTTTCCAATTACTTTCGTCATTCTCTCACGCATTAAAAAGTCATTTTCTTCTTCAGTATATTGACGGTTTTCCCCTTTTTCCCCAATTTTCCCCTGAATCATCCCCTTTTTCGAACAACACCATTTGCGTCAACACCGAATCAAATTTACTGTGATTGCGCTTGTGTTTTTTTCCTCTTTTCCGGGAGATACCACGCACAAAATTTTGTAGTTGAGAGAAAATGGAATAGGTTGTGGAATCGATATCAAAATTGAGTAAGTTGTGAAAAAAAAAAGTCCTTCCTTGTAGAAAATAGAAACAACTTTCTCTGGCACACCAAATTTTTGATCTTTGCGGCTTGAACTTTGGACACAAGTGTATTGAATCAAGCAGCTAGTCTAACTTTAAATGATATTTCCATCTTGCCCACGTAATCTATAAAAATAACCTTCCAGATTACGCCATCAAAACATAGTCCAACTATACGACACTTATGATGAGAAGGGCTATGTGTATTTGGTGATGGAATTGGTCACAGGAGGAGAGCTTTTCGATAGAATTGTTGCCAAAGGATCGTATACAGAAAAAGATGCGAGTCATCTTATTAGACAGGTTTGTTAAAGCTTCACTTTTCAAATCGTATCTCTTTTTGTCACCGAAGGAATGCGTTTTGAATTCTTTTCCAGAAAATCGTTTTACCTAACAATTCATTTAAAGAAATGAATTCAAATTGATACTTCAAATTAATCTTTATTTTCGAAAACTTTTCAATTCAGGTCCTTCACGCAGTTTCTTTTATGCACGACAATGGAGTCGTTCATCGAGATTTGAAACCGGAAAATCTACTATATTTCAATCATGAAGAGGTAGCATTTTGTAGATAAACTGTAGATAAACTGTAGATAAACTATAGATAAACTGTAGATAAACTTTAGATAAACTTTGTAGATAACACAGATAAAGTTATACTTTTAACTTTCAGGATTCAAAAATCATGATTAGCGATTTTGGTTTGTCGAAAACGGAGGACTCGGGAGTGATGGCAACCGCGTGTGGAACACCTGGGTGCGGGGGGAAATCTGGAGAAAGAGTTCATTAGAAATAGATTTCCAAGTGAAATGATTAACCTTTTCAAATGAAATATCTTTCAACAACCCTGTGCATTTACATTTGCATTTACAGTTACGTGGCCCCGGAGGTTCTCCAACAGAAACCGTACGGAAAAGCGGTCGATATCTGGTCGATCGGAGTGATCGCCTATATTTTGCTTTGCGGGTGAGTGGCACAACCAAAGATTAAACGGATTTTAAAGCCCTAATCGTTCTGAATTCAAAAAAAAACTCTTCTGCCAACAAATTCTCTCTTATTTTTTGCCTTTAAATTGAAACCAATGACTCGATGAAGCAAATTGTATTGAGCTGGTTCCCCAAAACCACTTCACTCAATCAATTTTCCCCTTCAAAAAAGCCGAGTCAAACTCTCCTTTTTCTCAAAAATTGAAATGGAATGGATAATCCCTTTTCAAGGGGATTTTTCCTTTTTTCCGATCAAATTGCTTTAAAATGAGATTTTCTACCCACAAAGAGCTCCCGCCAATTGCTTTTCCGCTGAAAATAAAAATTGCTTAGGTCCTTGATACAAATCTTTTCAAAATAGCCAGAAAAAAATAAAATTTCTGAAATTTAAAACTTTGATAATCTGTAAGTGGAAAAGAAAGATTTCGAATCATTTTTTTTAGATATCCACCATTTTACGACGAGAATGACGCCAATCTTTTTGCACAGATTATAAAAGGAGAATATGAATTTGATGCTCCGTATTGGAATGAAATCTCGGATTCGGGTCAGAGTTCATAAATTCAAAGCATTATTTCAAGGTCATTAGTCATTATAATATCAATTCTTTAGCCAAAGATTTCATCTCTCATCTGATGTGCTGTGATCCAGATCAACGATTCACATGCGAACAGGCGCTTGCTCATCCATGGTCAGTTTTAAGATGCAATGCTTGTCTAGGTATACAGAAATTTAGAGTTAACTTTCAATTTCAGGATCAGCGGCAATACGGCCTACACAAAGGATATCCACGGATCGGTCGCCTCACACCTCAAAAAGAGTTTGGCGAAGAGAAATTGGAAAAAGGTGAACGAGATAGGAAAACAGCCAGATACGAGGTTCAGTCGCAAAGGACTATTTAGACTAGACTTCAAGTACACTTCTGGATTATTTAGACTGGCTAAAGTGCGTACGGTCTTTGTTTAGTATTGGGGAAGGAGGCTACACGAATTTTTTGGATAAGGATTTAGAGACAGTTTATGCTTTTTCGCTTCCTCTCTTCTTGTGCCTTCTTTCTCTGGAGAAAGAATAGCACCTGTGTCTCAGTGGGTAGAGCGTCTGGAGGTCGAGAGTTCGATTTCCCTCGGTGCTTCCTTCTTTGCCAAATTCGTTTTTTAAAGAACGAAAAAGGTAAGGGGAAGGGACGAGAGGAGAAGGAGGCAGGATGAGAATAAAGAGAAGGATAAAGAAAAGGAAAGATGAAAAGGAGATGCATAAAATTTTGGTTCAACTTATTGAGAATTCCTCGAAATACTTCAACTTGCGTGGTTTTAGTACCTTTTTCTGAATGCATCTTTTATAAAACTCTTAAATCATTAGGACCATAGCCCACTATAATACTTGACAACAATCAATATAAAAACACTCGAATTCAGGCGTACAACGCGGCGGCGGCAATTCGACAACTGCAACTTCTTCGAATTTCTTCATCTCGCGCCGTTACAGGTATCGATCGCAATTCAAAATAGCCACCTACCGATAAAATATCTGATGGAAAAAACCTTGAAATAAAGGAAAAGTGTTGTGAGTGCGCCCGTAATATCATTTCATTATAGGGAACTCCTCCTCGAATGGGACTCCTCCAAATCGACCATTTCCTGTCTAATCAATGTTTTTTTTCTCTCTCATCGATCCAAAATTGCTGTCCGAAATGCTCACATAATCATCCACAATTTTTATCATCTTTTTCTTCATTCATTCATTCACGATCTCTCAGCTGACAGGTAAACTCAACTAGCAAATCCTTTTCTCATCAATTTCATCATTTTCTCATTTTGTACCTGTAAATGGATGCCGGGTTTTTCCATATTCCAATGCTGTCCATTCCCCTATGTACAGTCAAAGATCTAGTCGTGTTTTTGCCTGAATCTCTTCATTTTCTTTGATTCAAATCATACGCGACAATGAAATCCTGAAAATCATCTATGGTTGTGATTATATTTTTTGGTTTGCCATTAATTTTTCGTTCAGAGTACATATGTTACATACGATTTTGAAACCTTTTATCTTCGAAACCTCTTTTTTTTACCTAGAAAAGTCATTTCACAAAAAAATTTCCACCAAATCTAGTCAAAAAAAACACAATTCTAGTTTTGTTCAGCACTTTAGTACCTTAATGGAAGGTTTATCTTAAAACTATCGAAATTACACCCTTTTTATTCATTAATCAAATTTAAAACAATAGTTTATAAAAAACAAAAGAAATGCATCTTTTTTCAATTTTAAAGAAACTTGTGCAAAAACCATAATTTGTTTAGTAATTTAGTGATTCTAATGCATAAACATTATTCTGTTAAAAAGGTTTCAAAATCGGATGTAACACATATACGCCTAATAAATGTCTGAAATTTATGAAGTTGTGCAGAACGAATTTTATCTAAAATCAACAACGCATTCCCACATCGTACAAACAATTTTTAAAACCCAAACAAAAATTCAGCAGACAAACGACTTAAGCCCAAAATAACTAGAAGCAATATTTCATACTAGCAATACTTTGGAATAAATAGAAACCGCTTTTAAATCGAAACAAAGGGTAACAAAAAAGAAGAGATAGAAGAAAAAGAAATTATATTAAAGAAAAACACCAGAGAAACGCACCTTACGAATTCCAAGATATGCCATGTATATCACAAAACGAGATGAGATCATCAATTTTTCTTTTTGTCATCAGAAACTTTCTTTTTCTTGGAATCCTCGTCTTTTTCGATCAAATGCTCTTCATCGTAGTTCCACAACTCGCTCAATTCACCTCTGAAAAAAAAAATTAAATGAATACGGTAATGAAATTATTCTATTTAAAAATTTTAGTTCAGCGAATTGAAAACCCTGAAACGAGCTATCAAAAAAAAAGATACCTGATAACGGCTAGGACAAGAGGAATGAGAAGACAAGTCGGTACAAGATACAATAACGCTGGTTGAGCACGCTGAATAGATCATTTATACCTTCAATCAAAGTGTTAAATAGATACCTTGAAGTGGTGCATCACAGCCATTGTGATGAACAATCCCAACATGTAGGCGATGATGGTAGTGGCAAAGTAGTAACTGGAAAATAAACACTTATTATCAGCTCGTAAATATAAAGTTTTTAAACATTTCCGCGCACAAGATATAACTTATTCTAGAGTTTAGAAAAGTGAAAACTATTTATATATCTAAATCCAACCGTCCTTTCAGCGGTCCTTTGGCCTTTTCTCCAGACTTTTCTCCCAACCGTTGGTCGAATCTGCGCAAGAGTGCAATGAAAATACCAGGGATTACAATGTCACCAAGACCTAAACAACAACCTTATTTCATAGGAGGAATATTTCTTACCGAGCATCGAATGTTTGCTGGCTTCCAACCATCCATTTTGGAAGATATCTTGTGGGAATTGCAAAAGAATTGGAGCATCGATTCCCTAAAGACAAGCCGTAAATTTTACCGTCTATTGTGTTTTAGTCAACAAATTTGATAATTTTCGAATTCTACGTGGTATTCTCAAAAAACTTACCTTAGCTACAGATGTCATCACATCAGTGGCGAACACCCAGAAAATGTCGTATATGAAGAGACCAGAAAGCAAAAGACTTCCTGCCTAAAAATAAAATAATTTTTATTCTTTTCCTGAATTTCAAAAATCGACCCTACCGCAAAATGTACATGTTAAATTAAATTCACCTTGAAAGAGCTAAGATGCAAATTCTCGATTCCAAAAATGGAGAAAGCAACGCCCAACAAATTATTTGTAACCCAGTGTCTAAAAACAAAATTATTTAGAAACCTTAAACAAAAACAACCTTCGGTACAGGTGGGAAATTCCAACGGGGATGCACATCAAGATTCCAATGATATCGTGCGAATCGACTTCAATTTTCATCAGATACTCCTAAAATAAAATTAAAGAAGTTAAATAATCAAAGTGTCTTTTATAATTTAAGCCTATAATTAAATCAATCTTTCCCGATCTTACTGTGGTCGATTTAACACGCGATCTCTTGCTACTAATAGTAATACGTAAAATTTTAAATCAATCCAAATAAACTTACCACATCCCGCTTGGTTGCATCCTCAATATCTCCTTGATCCATTTCCTTTTTGCCCTTTTTCAAGGAGAGCAAGTAAGATGTGTTCTTTCGCGGCCATCTAAATAATTGCTTGAATTCGACAATTGATCACATTTTACCTATCTCCAATTGGAAGAAGACGCAAAATTCGTTGATAAATTGGCTTCAGAATAGCGGCAAGCGATACACAACCTAAGACATAATGATTTGTATAGCAACATTAGTTAGGCATTAAGCATAATTTTTAAAAGTGCCAAAACTTCTCGTCCAACCTAGCATTAAATACTCACCTTCAAAGCAAAGAAAAACGAGAAGGAAATACATGAAATGTTGTTTGGTGATTGTTGGAATGTACTCGAGCAAGAACTTTGCATTTTCGGGTGTCTAAAAAATGAAAATAACAAAAAAAACTAGGTAAATATCTTAGACAGTGAATGCGTTTGCAACTAACCACTGCCTCTAGTTTTTGAAAGAGACTCGTCGATCCCTCGCCGGGAAGAAGCGTCTTATTCAGTCGTTCAGAGATGTGAGCTGGAAGATGTACCGATAAAAATCCCAGCAGCCACTCTTTTCCATCGGGTCTAAAAATACAATAATAAACAACTCTACTTTGAAAGCCCACTTAAAGAAGATATAAAGCGAGAAGAGCACAATCGATGCGGTCAATGGGAATTTCCTTGCCTCAGAGATTGTAATTGACGTCTAAATGAAAGTTGAATGAAAGTTATTTGTAAAACAATTCAAATCAACCAAGTCTTACTTCAACTAATCGCTTTTTCGCAATCAATCGTTTCACAAAAGATGCCGAGTTTATTCCTCCCCACACAATGCACAGCAACGACAATCCATAGAGCGCAAGAGAAGCAGTTGCCTAAAAATTGAAGATAGAAATAATCTAATACATTTAAAACGTCAGTTCTATCTGTCTGCCTGCCTGATATCTTAAAACTTTAAGCTAGAGCTACAAAAGCTTTCATAGTTTAAAAAAATATTAACCACACAATTCGAAATAAAGACTAAGCATTTGAGAAAAGATTTGAAACTAAATAAGGACGACTCGGCCTTGACAAAACTTTCAAAAACAAAATGTTACCTGTTCAGCAAAGGTGAAAGTGACGTTCGCGGTCGGGTTCCCAGCATCGAGTGATGGCGATGGAGTCGTTTCCGCCATCCTGGAAAATAGTAATACGATTACGATAAAATATGACAAATAAACAAAAGGAAAAAAAAATAAAACAGAGATTTAATGCTTAATAAAAGTATCTGCGGTAATTTTAAGCATGTAATGTTGGGTCTCCACGTCGGCCGAAAGACGACAAAATGTGTCGAAGTAGTGATTGGTTAAAGGGGAAAGAGTAGTGATTGGTCCACACAAGCACACTGACACGCCCACTCTTTTTGAGATTATCCCTTTGGCGATCCACTTGGGTATTTGAATGCCATACTAACAAGCTTTGTTTCCGCTAGCGCGCAGTTTAAAATCGAGTATTTATTTGCTTTTTTGGATATTTTTTAACTTTTAGCCATTACCGAATCAATTACTGGAAATTTCCCTTTAGGCAACGTCGCCGTATTTGCCGGGAAGTGGGCGTGGCTTGGGTAAGCACACGTCGGACAAAACGCCTCTCTTTGAGTGTTGAGAGATAACCGTCACCAGAACTTTCTTTCTCTTGGGCCACCCTTTGAGATCATTTTGGTTCGAAGATGCGTCGCTCGTCGGCCATCATCCTTCTATCTGTTTTTCTTTTGTCTATAGGTAAGTGAATTGTTACATGTCTCCTCAGGTTAGTTCCGCCCAAATACCCGAAAAATTCTCTATAGAGGATTTTCTCATGTTTCTCAAGATACAAACTGAGGTAAATGTCCTGACTAAATATCTTGAGAAACATATGGTTGCCTTTTTCGCTTTAAAAGCCCGTTTGAGAAGTTCATCCTAAAGTCAAGCATCGTCAATGTCCATTTAAAAAGTTCAATCATAAAATAAAACTTTTCAGCCCTCTACCCATCACTCGTTCAAGCCGAAGATGAGGTGGACAATGTGAACGGAAAAGTGAACACTGGAAAAGGAACCGGAACTGATCAGGATACAGTAGCAAGGTCAGTTTATAACTATGTATGCAAAAAAGAGATAAACTATGAAAACCGTGGAAGGTAATTTGATAGCCGCTCATAGAGTTACTCTAGGTTTAGAAAGATAAAGCGTAAATTCGGAAATCCTTTCTTTTGATACTTGTGCGCAAAACGAGGGTCACTATTTTTGTATTTTATCATGCGATTCTACAATTTCCATATCAAGATCCACCGTTTTTTTCTATCAGTCGGAATTGTAAGCAGTCCGAACGTCACCGTTGTTGTCACTAAATCACTTCCCTTAAATTGTGAAAGTATTAAGACGGATGGGGGAGATGGATGGGAATTATTTGTCGTGCCTGGGTACGCGACCGTCACCCACTATTTGCACGTTGACCGTCTCTTACTGTCTATAGAAGATCGGCGAAGTGAGAGGGGGTTTTTCTTTCTCTCAATCAACGATCCCCTCTATGGAGTCTCTCTAACGACTCTTTTTCTCCTCCTTTTCTGCTTTTCTCTTTCGTGGGTCGATAGGTCGGACAAGCCTCTCTCACGGTCAGCTCTGACCCCGCGATGACCCCTCGAAAATCTTAAGCCGCGACAAAATGGGGTTGCCTTACTCGAGAATTGACTGTGAAAAAACAGAATAAAAAGTATAATTGAAAATGTGAACATTAGCGAAAATGAAGAACCGGTATAACAGCTATTTAAGTCAGAAGAAATTAATCCTATGCTAGCGCTAGTCAACAAAAATCTTGTGTTTTTCAGAGAAGAAGAAGCTATCAAACTCGATGGACTTTCCGTGGCTGAGGTTAAAAAGCTTCGTGCCGCCGCCGAGAAGCACGAATTCCAAGCTGAGGTCCGATACACCAACTTACATAACTAACAACTCAAAATACAACAACCAAATTCTTTTTGCAGGTGAATCGAATGATGAAATTGATCATCAACTCCCTTTACCGAAACAAGGAAATCTTCTTGAGAGAATTGATCTCAAATGCTTCAGATGCTCTGGATAAGATTCGTCTTCTTTCACTCACCGATCCTGATCAATTGCAGGCAACTGAAGATCTCAGCATTCGAATCAAGGTTTTGAGCAACTGAAACAACACCTAGAAAATTTATTTCAGGCCGACAAAGACAACAAATTGCTTCATATCATCGATACTGGAATCGGAATGACCAAGAAAGATATGATCAATAATCTTGGAACGATTGCCCGATCGGGAACTGCCGAATTCTTGTCGAAACTGATGGACTCGTCAACATCTCAAGAACAACAACAGGTAAACGAGGATTAGGATTAAAGCAATACTAGTCATTCAGCCTCAATTCTGAATAGTCATAATAATAGCTCACTCTTTGATTCTGATGGTGAGCAATAATTTTTAGGATCTGATTGGACAATTCGGAGTCGGTTTCTACTCGGCTTTCTTGGTTGCCGATCGCGTTGTTGTCACATCAAAAAATAATGATGATGACCAATACATTTGGGAATCCGATTCTGCCAGCTACTCAATCACCAAAGATCCACGAGGACCTACTCTTAAGGTTTCGAGATTCACAAAACAATTCCAACTCAATCTTTTAGCGTGGTACTCATATCACTTTATATCTGAAAGAGGAAGCTCTCGATTTCCTTGAGCCAGAAACTGTCAAGAACCTCGTTCACAAATACTCGCAATTCATCAACTTCAACATCTATCTCTGGCAAAGCAAGACCGAAACTGTTGAGGTTTGGCTTTACTATTTTTGCACAACAATTTCTCTCAAAGACAATCTATTGAAGCCTTAGAACAAAATCAATTTAGGAGCCCGTTGAAGAAGAAACCAAAGAAGATGGAGCTGTCGAAGAAGAAAAAGAAGAGAAAAAGACAAAGAAAGTCGAGAAAACAACATGGGATTGGGAGAAAGTGAATACAGTGAAACCGATTTGGATGAGGAAATCATCCCAAGTTGAAGATGAAGAGTACAATGAATTCTACAAAAGTGTTACAAAGGTTAGTGAATGGCATGTTTCTTGTCTAATCATTATTCAAGAATAAATAAATTCAAGACCTAAAAACTAAAGCTATAACTTTTGAGGATTCGTCGAAACCCCTTGCCCATGTGCACTTCAATGCAGAGGGTGAGGTTTCATTCAAAGCGATCCTCTACATTCCATCCTCGTCACCAGCTGACATGTTCCAAAATTATGGAAAAGTAAGAAAGAAACTATTTTTAAAAAACTAATCTGTTATTCAGGTCATTGAAAACATCAAACTCTACGTTCGTCGTGTTTTCATCACTGACGATTTCGCTGACATGATGCCCAAGTACTTGTCGTTTATTCGAGGAATCGTTGACTCGGATGATCTCCCATTGAATGTCTCTCGTGAAAATCTTCAACAACACAAACTTTTGAAGGTAAAACAGAAACCCAGTGCTGATCTAGCTATTCATTTATAGGTAATCAAGAAGAAACTTGTCCGCAAAGTATTGGACATGATCAAGAAATTGGAAGGAGAGCAATTTGACAGCTTCTGGAAAGAATTCTCAACGAATATCAAGCTTGGTGTTATGGAAGATCCATCAAACAGAATTCGATTGGCGAAAATCTTGCGATTCCAGGTAAATTTGAAAACAATATAGAGAAAAAGAATATTTTATTTAGTCATCAAACGAAGGAGAGAAATTGACATCATTAGCTGAATATGTTGAGAGAATGAAAGAGAAACAAGAGCATATCTTCTATATGGCGGGAACATCAAAGAAAGAAGTCGAAACGTCTCCATTCGTTGAGAGACTTTTGGCTAAAGGATATGAGGTTAGTTTGAAAATAGGAAAACTTTTAAATCCTTTATCATAATCTTTTAAATAACTATGACTTTCATAAACCATTAGAACTATTTGCTCAAATCAATTAGATAATCAATCAATAGATAATCAAACATGAGTCTTGTTCTCTTGTCTTATGACTCTAAACAATCCATTTAAAGGTGTTGTTCCTGACTGAGGCTGTTGATGAGTATTGCATCCAAGCAATGCCCGAGTTTGAGGGAAAGAAATTCCAAAATGTCGCCAAAGAGGGTATGAAGATCGAAGAAGGAGAAAAGGTAATTGGAAAATAAAAGAAAATGATAAAATTTATGTGTTTTCAGGGAGAAGAGACGTTGAAAGAGTTGGAGAAAGAGTTTGAGCCATTGACGACCTGGTTGAAGGATCAAGCATTGAAAGATCAAATCGACAAAGCTGTCGTCTCTCGGCGATTGGTTCGTTCTTTTTTTCCTAACTTTCCAAGTGCTTAACAAAAGCATAAAATCCTCAGCAGTTCTTAGATAATGGAATCTAACCAGTGTTAGTTCAATCAGTAAGTGCGAGCTTCCTATTGCTTACTTTCAGGTGAAATCCCCGTCAGCCCTTGTTGCATCAAACTATGGATGGTCTGGCAATATGGAGCGAATCATGAAATCTCAAGCCTATGCCAAAGCCAAAGACCCAACTCATGACTTTTATGCAAACCAGAAAAAGACTTTCGAGATCAACCCACGCCATCCTGTTGTTAAGGTACATTGGACATACCACAAGAATCGTTTAGCAACGTGTCCTTACTCTAAAGTTCTTACGATAAGACTTTTAAATCTTTAGGAACTTCTTCGTCGCGTTGAAGCCGATAAGGAAGATCAAAAGAGCTTTGACACGGCAAAGCTTCTTTTCGAGACAGCCACATTGAGGTGAGTGAAGAAGAAAATGGGAAAAAGAAAAGACAAATAAAGACAGAGTTAATGAGCAAGTTTCAGATCCGGCTTTTCTCTCGACGATCAAATCGGTTTCGCTGAACGAATTGAGGCGGTGATTCGACAGAATTTGGATGTGTCCCATGATGCTGAGGTAAGGAAAAAGGGATTATGAATAAAATTGAAAGTGGAGAGCTTTAAGAGTTGAAATGAAAGTGCTTTTTAAGAATTTTCATAAAACGATCATAATTTCAGGTGGATGCCGAGCCTGAACACGAGGAGACAGTCGAAGAGAAGAAACAAGAAGAAGAGGTGAAAGTCGAGGAGGAACACTCGGAACTCTAGATAAATAGATTCGCAATTTCCCCTATTCAATCCCATCAATCATATCTGGGCAATTTCTATACGAGTATCGAAGTGATTTTATTCTCATTTCTTTTTCTTTTTTCCTCTTTCTCATTCGCTCAAAAATGGTTGTTTCATTTCCTTTGATTGAATACTTTTTTTGTGATTGGGCATTATTTCTATCTCTTCCAAATGATCTACCCTTACAAAACGAACCTCTTTTCACCACAAAAGCTTTGTGTGTTTTTTGAAAGCAATTTTTCATAGCTGTCCATTCATTAACAGACAGACATTTAACAGACAAATTCATCCAGATATGAGAAATACACAAGCTTTACAAAAGAGAGTTTTTTTCGGTAAAAACAGGGCGGTTTTTTAATTTCTCTTTTTTTTCCATTCTTGTGATACGGTTTTCACTCTTCCCAAATAAAATATACCTGCAAATGTTTGAAGTAACACCCAAATGTACAAATCATGAAACCTATCTTTAAAATGCGCCTATCTTAAAAAGAAAAAACAAGTTGACAAGTTCATTTCTTAAAGTACTTATTTGATTTTACCTCTTAAAAGTTTAACAGGTGATTAAAATGCGATTCAAACATCAATAGAATGTAGAATTTGCCTGCTTCTCGGATGAGTGAAACGGATGAAGAGGCCGACTATCAAACAGTGGCCACTAAAGTTGCAGGTGAGATTGTGCAAGCAAAAAACTAATGCACGTACACTCTGCATAATGAACTCACTATACGGACGGAGTGCAAGAAGAAGTATAAGCATTAGAAATATAAATTTGAACACTTGAGTATAATGTCATTTGCAGAAGTGACCCTCGAATCAGACTCGCTTCCCGAGACACCCAATGCTCGAAAAGTGAGGAGGCGACGAAAAGCAAAAAGTCGGCCAAAGCAAATGGAGGTTTGGTAGAAGCAGTGCATTTTTATCTTATTTTCTCGTAAATCATAAAATTATAAAGTACCAACATTTTGCAGGTGGATCCACCCGTTCTACTCGGTCCGCCACGTGACGTTCGACGATCGCATGACTTGGGTGAGTTGAAATGCAAATTTGTTTATCAGAGAGTCGATAATCATTGCAATTACCTATATCACAAAGTTTATAGGATCTCAAATGGACTGGCAAGTCGAAGAATCGGATATTTACTCATCGGATTCCGCATCAGAGAGAAATCAAGACGCTGACGACGAACAAAGTGATTGGGTTGGATATGTGGTTGAACATGATGAGGTAAAGAATATTGCCAGTGATGTGATGAAGATAACAATGCGTCAGATTAAGCTTTCTCAGTTGTTCATTTAAATGCAAAACTGGAATTTCCAGGTAGATCTGGTAGGCACATCTTCAGCGAGTTTGGAGAGACGGCGCCGAATCGGGAAACCCTCAACAGCGATGTCCGTCATACAAAGTAAACTTGAAAAGTTAGTTTTTTTATTGAAAGTGATTAGTTCAAATGATTGAAGCATCAAAAGCACACTCGCTTTTTCAGATTTTCGAAAGATCCCGGATGCTCAGAGCTCTCGATCGATATTCGCGTAAAAGAGCGAACACAAACCGCACAAGTCTGCTCAAAATGAGCAAGTCTCTCAAGGTTTCTATTATTTCAGTTCAGTCGCTTCTTGCAACTCTACAAATTGGAGGTGATACGACGCCAGAGGGGAACAGTTGTGTTGAGGAAAAGACGGCCACCCAATCCACCCGTACCACCACTCACTCCAACGAGTACTTAGCGTCGATTACTATAGTATTATACATTAGTGCACCTAGTTGCAACTAGCACATGGGCTAAATTGCAGCTATATTTTATTATCGTGTACACTTGACGTGAAATTTGTCATTGATCGAAATTATTTGGTATCAGGCTGTCCAGAGAGTCTTTTCGTTCCTTTTCGTACTTCCGTTTAAAACCAACAAATGCACCAATTGAACTATAGTTTGTTTCATTATAAAGGCCAATTATTTCTCTGCGAAATAACATTAAAAGGGGTTTAAAATGTCTTATGTCTGAATTTTTTTGGGAGCGTAAAGTCGGGTATTCAAAAAGGGTGACGGCTCGACGATGTGGTTTAGACACTTTAGCTGAAGAAACCTATCTTATGTCTGGACAAAAAACACATTTTCACTCTCGAATTTGCGTGAAAGTGAACCGAAATTAACTTAAAAAGATGGGAAATTGAACAAAAATAAAAACTTTCTATTTAAGGTAAACCATAGGTTAGTTGGTGAATTGTTTGTTATTTGTCAACGGAATTACGAAAAGGAACGAAAAGACTTATTCACCAACCCAATATTAGGTTGGACGAAAAGTCTTGTCCACTTTTTTAAAGGTTACTTTTTGAAATGAATAATGAACCAATCGATCTACGGTTTGTTTTATCAGAAAGTTCTATTATTTATTTAAAAATTGCTCTTTAAGAAACTCTGAAAAGCTCACGTTAGTTCATTTTTTTAAAGATGTAAAGTCGAGCAGATAAAACAGCAAAAACGATAAAACTCAAGGTTCCGATTTGAGCACCTTTTGTCACAGAAATCTATTTTGGTATCGAAAGACAAAAGATAGAAAATGAAAAGTTAGGAAAATAGACAAATTTTCATAACATTTCACCAAGCCGTTTTCATTCTATGTCCATTGTAAAGATTTTAGGAAAAACAAGAATTTCCGTTGAGATTTGCTTCAAAGCGGACTTAAATTTGCCTAAAAATGAGCCAAATGAAATCGTTAACCTTTTTTATTTAAAGCAAACCACACGTTGCTCGGCTAATTATTCATTTCTAAAAGGAAATTTCAAAAAGGCGGACAAGATTTTCCGGCGAAACCAATACAATTAGTGGGAGGTAGTCAAATGAGCGCCAACAATTGGGCGCCAATCATTTCAGCGCCAACGATTTGGCTCACGCTTATTTCAGCGCCACTCATTTGAGCGCCGTGCCAAAAATGACTGGAAAACAATCATTTGAGCGCCAAATTAAAAAGGCCTAAAAACGTTCATTTAAGCGCCAGGCCAAAAATGACTGGAAAACGTTCATTTCAGCGCGACTAAATTTTAATATTTTTGCTTTCTACGCTGCTTTTGCATGTTTTTTAGGGTTTTGCTTCTGTTTTTACACTTTTTTCACTCATTTGACCTAGGGCACGGTAGTAGGCATCAAATGCGCGGAAAAAAATTGTTAGATTAGCTCGTATTTAAGGTTTTTTTGATGAAAATGTGTAAATTTGCTAGTTGTATGATATTTTTCCCCCAATAGCATGCTTTTTCACCGTTTCTTGCCGTTTTCGTTTACAATTTGCTTACAGTTAACATAGTTCTTTGCTTAGGCTCGTGAACTGCGCAAGAAGTGGCGAGACAAAGGAACACTCTGAGTCAAAGTAACGTTTTGTTCATGATTTATTTTGGTTTATTTTGCTGCCAAGAATTATTTTTATCTTTAGATGATTTAGATAAAAACATACAGTAAAAACTTTGAGATCATGCAGAAAATGCAAAAATAACATGCATATACAGAATGGGCTGATTCGGCGCTGAAATGAATGTTTTCCAGTCATTTTTGGTGCGGCGCTGAAATGAACGCGCGCTGAAATGATTGGCGCTCATTTGACTACCTCCCCAATTAGTACATGTGCTAAATTGCAGCTATATTTTGGTATCGTGTACACTTGACGTGGATTCTCGGTTCCATCTCGAACCCCAATTCTGTTATTGATCCAAATTATTTGGTAGTTCACAAATCATTGTCCACTCTTACTATTTGAAATCCCTTCCTTGTCCCTAAAGATATAGAAATATTTACTGGTAAGTTCCCCACTTTGCAAACAAAAGCTGGTCTTTGTGTACTTTGCGTTTGTTCTTTCACTAATCTCCGAATAAATCGGCATAATACCCATTTACTTGCCTGTATAATGATGCTCATTTCGGGGTTTTCTTGTCATAAAAAGAGTTCAACGTGTAATAAAAGTTTATTTTTGAATACATATACAATCTGATGTCATACAATCACACAATTGTCTCCCAGATCCATTTCAATCATTTAACAACCACAATTTCAAAACGACATCAATCGGTGAAACGGGTGATCGATTGGGGTTCGGTTTGACACTTGAGAACCCACGGAATCTCGTTGCATACGTGTGTTCGAGAGTGCCAAGCCGTCCCATCAACGGAATTCCGTAAGACACAGAGTGCAAGTACTGTGGAACTTTCGTTCTTTATATCTGCTTGTGCTCTCCTTTGATCGATTTCATAAGCTTCAGCTTGCAGAGAAGACACCTTTTTCTCGTTTTTCTGAAATAATTCGATTTGAAGAAAAACTGACACTGTGAACAAAGTTGTACCTGAAGACATAAGCCATTTTAAATCCGTTTTAATGTTATTAATGTTATTGTTAAAATAATTGGCCTTTCTAATGATTACAAACCGTAGTTCAATTGGTACATTTGTGGGTTTTAAGCGGAAGTACGAAAAGGAACGAAAAGACTTTCTGAACAGCTTAACAATTGCATTTTTTATTTTAATACATAGATCTTCCTGAAAATTCTTATATCAATCAACAATTTCCATTTTTCTCTCACAAATGTGCATTATTTCATTCATCGACAAACACTCAAATCGATCGTCGATCTTCGAGGACACTCTCATATAAATATTCCCCAAATTCACAATGGGTTCTCCTTGTCTTTGCTTTGAATACTTGACCCAAACCTTTCTTTATTCTTTTTTGATGAGACCTCCTTCTGTGCAAGGCCATTCATTCAATTCACCTTTCTTCTATTGAGATACCTTCAATTATGTTTCGTATATCAACCATAGATTGAACTGAGTATTGCTTTTTTTTCTGAAAGTCAAGACTTCCTTATATTCTAACCCAACTGTGTCCACGTTAATCTTAAAACTAACTCCTCCTTTCTATAATTGATGAATTTTCTATTTAGTCCACTCATACTCATATTTTACGTTTCACAAGCTCAAATTGAACAGTTTGCAAAACGATTCAGCAAAATTGGGAAGTGGGGAACAACTACAAAAGTTGAGGGTGGTGGGGGATTTGGGGGGATCGACAGGAACAGACAAGAGGAGTGCGGGGATTCACTCAGAGCTCAGAGGGGAGGGGCTAATCCGAGGCGAGCCACCACACACTGTCCCTCCGCTTCCCCTCACCTCCCCATTAGGGGTAATTGACGGTGAGGTGAAAGAGAAAGGGAAAAGAAAATGGGGATGGGATAGCTGAAGGGACTGACTGTGTATGAGGGAGAGGAAGAGGATGACCTTCATGGAGACCCTCCCCCGCCGAGTTCTCCACAATGCCCTCTCCCACAGCATCCCCATCACAATGGGCACATCGAGGACACGCATCGTGGATCTTCTTCACCTAAACCCCTATCTAGAATCATACAGTAATGACTGGGCGCACTCTTCATCTCTTTCTTTTACCGTTCACGAGTTATTTGGGGTTAGCCAGGCCCGGTATGAATATTTTTAACCAGTGAATGGCGGTGAATGCTTTTGAAAACCTGTGACTGTGATATGGATACGTGTGTATTAACTGCGAAAAGATCTCTCTTGAATAACTCTAACTGAAACACAAAATCGACCATCCGTCAATTTTGCGTACAACCCTCGCCGACCTACAACATTTCAAAAGTCTTTGCGCGCAAAGAAAACTCCTAAAGACTGTCATCTGTGCTGTGTCAAGAGGGCTATACATGGAAAAGAAAAAGAATGAGAACTGCTGCACACAAGGCCACCCCTTCCCTCCCTTTACTCGCAATCGTCAATTCAAAACCACCGAGCACACCTCCCGCCTTTTCGCCTCTCAACCCCCCGTAACCCTCTCAATGGGAAATACTCAAAAAGGGGTCATCCTCGATTCCTTTCTGCAATGGCTACAACCTGAATTTGTCACTAGAATGACTCACAAACAAGGTGCGATAAATAGAAGATATTGCAAAAATAGATCGTTTGGGGAGAAATTTCAGACAAATTTTTACAGCTGAAAAACAAAATGTGTTGATATCGTAGATTGTGTTCTGGATAAACACCTACTTCTATCATTCAGATGGGGTCATTGTTAAGGATTCAATTGCGAAAATATATACCAAATTTACAATATGCAATGGTTAACAAAGATCAAAAACAGAATTGGGGTTCGAGATGGAACCGAGAATCCGCGGCTGCTCTCGCCTACCACGCCGTGAATTCAGCAGTGCCATTCCGAGCCTCACCATTTCCAATAAATGGAGTTCACCATAGAACTTCATTTAAGAGTTAAACAGATGAATACAGTAGATCGAAATTAACCCGGCGAGAACCGTCACTTAAGTAGTTTCAGTAAATATTCGGTGGTTTAAAAAATCGAAGAGCAATGGCTGGGTAGAGAAGGAAAGAGACGATTTAACCGATCGTCGGGTTTTGAAGGGAGACAACCCCGGCAAAAGACTGGTAGGAGGGAGGGCGAACTGTGGCGAGTGAGGGGAAGAGAATGAGGGGAGACGAAAGGAGGGTTCAATTGGAGGTGAGAGGAATGGGAACATTTCAAGGAGGGGACACACATACCCATACACATACAACGAGGGAAGAGGAGGGACTGCCCCGCCTACCACCTCACACTTGTCTGTCTGTCTGTCTGTCTGTGCGGTGGACTGTCTATCCATTCATGTTCACTCTCTCTCTCTTGTACAAGAGTGACATTCGGCACACGCTAGGTTCTCCCCATTTTTGTCTGTCACTCAGGCCCGTAGCCAGGATTTTGGTGTTTTTGGGAGAATCGTTAGAGCTTTGTCCAGAAGCGTCTAATAAATTTACACCTAAAGAAGAAAATTTAGCAAAACCTTCAGGTTACACCATGGCTATAATGAAATTCACTCGGAAAAATTTGCATTTTTGTGAGGAAATTTAACGAGGGGCAGGGATTTTAGACCCTTAGCCGTTATTCAGGAAACTTCTAATTACCGCGAATTGATTTAGCAAAACCTTCAGGTTACACCATGAATACAATGAAATTTTTCTAAATAAACATGTTGGGCGAGCTAAAGGGTCGTCACGACTTTTTTTGCGCCTTTGCCCAACTTTGAGTCTCTCTAGTTCGTTCCACAAGCTTTAAATCCGATTTTTAGCCCATGAGTCATGTATGTAAACCGACATGGAGAATCAATTCGCGGTGATTAGAAGTTTCCTGGATAACAGCTTAGGGTCTAAAACCTCTGCCCCTCATTAAATTTCCTCACAAAAATGCAAATTTTTCCGAGTGAATTTCATTATAGCCATGGTGTAACCTGAAGATTTTGTTAAATTTTCTACTTTAGATGTAAATTGATTGGGCGCTTCTGAACTTCTGAACGCTTCTTGAGCGATTTTTTCAAAAATACCGAAATCCTAATTACGGGTCTGCTGTCACTCACCCTAGTCGAGCAGAGACAAGTAACGAGTCATTGCGAGAAAACGGGGAAATCGGCGAGAACGATCAGATAGCCGTGGTAAGATGGATTTGATTATGATAAAAGGCAACGCTAACCTCGATGCTGTCATCATCCGTTTCACTCAATAAAAAGGCAGATAAACACTGGAATTTGAATAAAGCATGCCCGCAACTGAAATGAGTGAGTGAGTGCGAATAAATTCGGATTTTGGAGATGAAGGAGTCGAGATGGGGGAATTGGATGGATGCACCCTCTTCCCGGATGGGTGCCATGCCAACACGCGGTCCATTAGTGATAAGACATACATGTGTGTGGAGATCCCAAGTGTATATGAGAAGAAGAAGCACTACTCTGAGCATTTCTTGAGCCTTCCTTTTCCCTTTATTGTATCATGGTTTCACTCCTAATCCGGAAATCCGGATCAGTTGTCCATGGAAACAAAAGCTCTCATCAAAAGTATGCTATAAATTTGTGTGCATAATGGTAAGTTATTCTCTTTTGAGTACAATATAAGGGAAATAGGGGAAATAAATTGCATTTTTTTTCTGAAAACGAACAAACTTTTATACTCTATTTACAAAACTTTAATAAATATCTATTTATTTAACCAAAATGTGTACAAGGGATCATTTGTTTTTCTTTCCATCATCCAATAGTCGCTGTTCACGCTTATCAATTTGCAAAACTTTTCTTTTAATTTCATCCCAACTTTCGTCAGATCCCCAAATTTTCTTCACAAGATCCTCATTTGTGTCCGGAAATGAAAACAATCCCAAAGTGAGCGGATTTTCTTCCAAAGTGTCGAACGATCGAAGAACATTGAGTGCTCGCCCATATTCCGCATCAGAGACAAGCATTTCGTCGGGTGGATAGAGAGCTGCTGCCACATACCTGTAAATAAAATAATATTTTTTGAATAATGATATTTTATAGCAAATGGGCTATAGTAGCCAAAAGTAACTACAATTGACGAAGATATAAAAGCAACAACATACCTCCCTTCTGCATTCAGAAAATTGAAGGTAGAAATGGCATCCTCGGTGTCCATGATCTCCAGCCCAATTTTGTGCTCACGGAGAAATCCCGCTATCCGATGTCGAATTTTATCAATGTTCTTCTTATCACCGGCACCAACAACGAGCACATCAATCTTTGGCTCAAGATTGACAAAAAGCGCGAGAGATTCCGGTGTGATGTCATCGGGGGTAAGAACTCTCCAAGATAGCGCAACTTTCGGGAATAAAGCAACTGGTCCATAGAGAAAACTTCCATCAATCATCCGAAATCCCACACAAGAAAGCCCTCGAACGCCAATTTGCTTCGCTTCCAACATCTGAGCCGACAAATAGGAGACTCGTGTCCGTTGTGGCAGATCGGATTTACCGAGTGGAGTGTGATGATACTCGCCAAGAACTCCCGTATCGGCTCGATTGTCTTTTCGTTGCTGTTTTTGCAACTGAGAAACAGCTCGTTTTGAGAAATTTGAACATTGTGCGAAGCGGCTGCACAGAAATCGCATCTGAAAAACGGAAATTAAAACAAAATATTGTTATATTTATAGAAACATAAATAAGGTCCAGATTTTCAACTCGTATGATTAATCTCAAACACTAATTTTGAACCATTTATTAAAGGGGTCTCTTTTTTAGTATACTCTTTCTTGACAAAACATGTGGAAATAGAGCACAATAATGAAAAAGCAATAATTCGTGAACAAAGCATTACATTGCATTCTCGCGGTCAAGTTGTTTTTTCGTCTCATCGTTGATCCATTGTAAACCGAGAAAAGATGGGCTAAATATGAAAAGGTTTTGGCTTTAGCAAAATTAAGTTAACTTTGTCAATCAATTCTATCAAATGTTTTAGTTTAAGTTGCTATACTTTATGACTAAAATTAAAAGCACCTGCATTCCGTTTTGCGTCAGCTTTAGCTTGTCGTCCATCTCATCGGAGAGTTCATCGCCGATTCGTTGTAAGCGCGATTCCGTGGCTCAAAGATGAGCTAAATAAAAGTTTTAGTTGTAAAACTTTAGCTGCGCGATAACATAAAAACAATTATTATTTTTGCTTAGCATTGTAATATCTATGAGAAACTAAACTTACGCTTTCAACAAGTATTTCAATCAAACGTCCTCGTGCCATTTTGTTGAACGCTTTCTTTTTTCACCTGAGCCTTGATCGAACCACATCTAAACTAAACTTTTATTTCAGAAAAAAGGATTTTACTTACTTCCTTGTAACTTTCATGACTTTTATATTACGGGTAAAGGGACAAAGAAACAAGACATTAGTGTAAAAGGCAAAAGTTAACCTGTTCATCGTTGTCGAAGAGCTGAAACATCACCGTTTTTGAAGGGGATGGTTCTGCACGTCTGCTCGATGACTTCTAAAGTAAGAAATTTGAAAAGACAATTTCTGCTCAACCATAATTGTCTGCAAAAAGACAATTTTTTGCAGACAATTATTGTTGAGGGTGTAAGAGAGAGAAGGAAATGAGAGTGTGATGAGACAATTAAAAAGTGTTGGCTTTTATCCAAAGAGTCCCAAAACGATACTACCGTAAAAAATCACCAGCGTTGACCCCCCTCCCATTTGAATTGCCTTACAGAATGCCATGAAAAACCCTTCTTACTATTAGATACTTAATTCTAATTACCTTTAGTAATTATAACAGAAAATTTATGAAAACTCTTATGATTTAAAGTTTTTTATAAACCGTCACTCGTTGTCTCGTTGTTCTTGTTACTCATTTGGATTGATAACAAATGGACACAATTTTTTGTCATATTTCTTTTACGCCAATTTTTTTGAATGAATATCTTTTGATTTAAGGAAAAATTTGCATAAATCTTTTCTTTTTATGGCGCGATTGTATCATTTCTTCATTTTTGTTCCCAATGTAAAGCCATTTCAGCTTTGTCACCATGGCGTATGTGGAAGACACAAGCGGACAAGCAGCTTATGATGGAGAACAATTTCGAGGTGCAGCCGGTCATTACCAACAAAACGAGCAGAACTATCAATATGAAACTGCAAATCAATATCAACAATATCAACCGGTGTGTGACTTATCGTTCAGACTTTCCAAAAACCAATTCCAATTTGATTAGCTTCTATAAAACTTTTCAGGATTATCATCATGTGGCTTCTGCGGGAGAGAATGATGAAAACAATTTTATGGAAACAAATACAGCCAAAACTATCGTAAAATGGAAGAAAGTTTCGAATACTTCCGGGCCCACACCAAGGTAAGGATGAGTGATTACTGATAAGGACACTGATATCTACAATGTATTGCACTAGTAAGGACACTGATATCTACAATGTATTGCATTAAGCTAACACACAAGTACAATGTAATATGCTACCAATAAAAGAAAGTATTTCAGGCCTCGTCATGGCCATCGAGCCGTTGCTATTAAAGATTTGATGATAGTTTTTGGTGGAGGCAATGAGGGAATTGTTGACGAGATGCACGTCTATAATACAAGTTGATTTTTTTCTTCAAACTCTATCAAATCTACTTTCAGCAACTAATCAATGGTTTGTGCCATCAGTTCGTGGAGATATCCCTCAAGGATGTGCTGCTTTTGGCATTGTTTGTAATGGGACTCATATCTACATTTTTGGTGGCATGGTTGAATATGGAAGGTAAACATTGTTCAAGAAAACTACAACACTTCTACAAATCGCTACAGCATGCTTATAAGCTTCTTTTCAGATATTCTGCCGACATTTTCGAATTGCAAGCGAATCGTTGGGAATGGAGAAGACTTCGGCCAAGACCTCCAAGAAACGGTCCACCTCCATGTGCACGACTGGGACATTCATTCACAATCACTACTCATCAGGTAATCTATTAACCATACCAAAGCCAATGGATCAAATCAATTTCAAGGTCGCTTATGTTTTTGGAGGATTGGCAAATGATTCAACCGATCCAAAGAACAACATTCCGCGCTATCTCAACGATCTATATTCAATCGATTTGCGACAATCAAATGCTGGAATTGCTCTACAATGGGAAATGCCACAAGTAAGAAATAAATTTGAAATGAAAAAGACTTACTGGGATTAATTTAGACTTATGGCAAAGCTCCATGTCCTCGAGAATCCCATTCAGCTGTTTTTTCGGAGAGCAGTGGTCGTCGTCGATTGATTATTTTTGGTGGAATGAATGGAGTTAGATTAGGTTTGATAAAATTAACTACCGTCTTTTCACATGATCTTCCAATTAAGCTAAGGCTTACTGTAATCATTCTAATTTTCTTAGGCGACCTGTGGATTCTCGACTTTGAATCAATGACTTGGGATTCACCAACAACAGACGGAACGTGTCCATTGGTAAAGAAACCTAAATAAAACGATTAAAATGATAACTTTTAGCCTCGCTCACTGCACACAGCCTCTTTGATAGGCTCGAAAATGTTCGTGTTTGGTGGATGGGTATGTTGAATACTTCTCTAATTCTTATTCCAAGTTTAAGGTGCCACTTTTGACGGAAGACGGGACTCAATTCAGTGAAAAGGAGTGGAAATGCACGAACACTATTGTGAGTGTTTTATCTTATCTACAAGTTTTATCTACAAGAGAGTTTTTAGGCTTGCCTCAACACGGATACACTGGTCTGGGAACCACTCTCTGTGGACGACCACAATGGTTGGTGCCATATAAACTCTAAAGAGTGACTCAATGAAAATCACGGGCATACTGTAATTAAATAAAGCAGTTCATATGAAACCTCTAAATCCAAGATAAATTTCTAGAAGCCTCCGATCTGTTACCGCGGGCTCGAGCAGGCCACAGTGCTATTGTGATCAACACGAGAATGTTTATCTGGTCTGGCCGTGATGGATATCGGAAAGCTTGGAACAATCAAGTAAATAATAGAAATCCTATTCTAAAAACATGTCGATTTTCTTTTTCTTAGGTTTGTTGCAAGGATATGTGGTATCTTGAAACGGCACGTCCAAATCAAGCTGGCAAGGTTCAACTTGTTCGAGCAACCGTCAACTCTTTAGAGGTAAACACGAAACTTTAGAAGCACAATTATCAACTGTTTTCAGGTCTGCTGGGCTGCTATACCAACCGCAGAAGCTTACCTTCTCCAAGTGCAGAAAATTGAGAAAGGAGATCGAGATGAGTCGACAGTTCAAAATCGTAGATTAGAAGCATTAGAACCCTTGTTATGAATGTAAATTTAGCTACAACAAACATGACACCATCAACTCGTCCTATGATTGCAACTGGACAACCAACAATGGTAATTGAACAAAACAAGCGTACGTACTTGGTTTTCAGGCTCGAATTCCGGTTAGCCGAGGCTCTATTGTGAGTGGAGGACCTCAGAAAGTGATCATGCATCGAACACCTCAAGGACAGTTGATGAAGGTAAGTAATTTGATTGACCACGATAATTTTATCTCAAAAGATTACACCGATTCTTGTTGCAGATAGTCCGACCGACAAGTGGTACAGTTCTCTCATCATCGAGTGGACAAGTTGTTCGTGTAGTGAAGAATGTTGCTGGAGGAACACCAATCTCAACGGCCAGTGCAATCAATAGAACAGCTATCAAACCGGCTTTTGTAATCAAGACGCAAACTCCGCTCGGATCACAAACTCAATCACAAAAGTGACCTTGATTTTATAATAGTTACTGATGTATCATTTCAGGGTTGTTTTTGTTTCACAGGCAGCTCCTTCACAAGTACAAAGAGTTCAGCCAGAACAAGTGCATGTCAATCAGGTTTTGTTTGATATCTAAGCAACTTGAAAGGAGCAAATTTTAGACAGGACCAAGTATCTCAACACAAGGCACTACTTACACTCAGCCACAAATATCTCAACAACAAGTTGATGATGTAAGTTTAATAAGCATAAGCTCAAAAAGAAATATTTAGGGAGGTTTGCCACACAATTTACTTGATGAAGTTCCGGAAGCCGGTGAGGCTCCACAAACATCGCCACGACATTTTATGGTATTAAAGATGATTTTATTATATTTTTTTTTTTTTTTTTTTTTTTTTTTTTTTTTTTTTTTTTTTTTTTTATTTTTAATAATTTATAAATATTTTTATTTTTTTTTTTTTTTTTATTTTTTTTTTTTTTTTTTTTTTTTTTTTTTTTTTTTTTTTTATTTTTTTTTTTTTTTTATAAAAAAAAAAAAAAAAAAAAATAAAAAAAAAAAAAAAAAAAAAAAAAAAAAAAAAAAAAAAAAAAAATTTAATATTAAATTTTAAAAATTTATATTTTTTTTTTTATATATTTATATAAAATATATATTTTAAAATAAATTTAAAATAAAAAAAAAAAAAATAAAAAAAAAAAAAAAAAAAAAAAAAAAAAAAAAAAAAAAAAAAAAAAAAAAAAAAAAAAAAAAAAAAAAAAAAAAAAAAAAAAAAAAAAAAAAAAAAAAAAAAAAAAAAAAAATATATATATAGACTTCGGTACTTTGTGGGTTGAGGGGCATCTATATTTTTGATTTTTTCACTTTTTAGGGGTAATCGAGGGCGCTGAGCAAGAATTTGACAGTTTTAGTATAGGTTTTCAACTGAAAAACTGCCAATTCGACACGTTGAAAATTTACGCTTTTTTTGCACTTTAAATTGTACGGAGTGCTGTGCTCAAGCGATCGACTATTGGGGCACTTTTCAAGGGTAAAAAAAATAGAGGCCAAAAACAATTTAAAACACAAAAAAATAGGAAAACAAAAAAAAAAAGGGCCCAAAAAAAAAAAAAAAAAAAAAAAAAAAAAAAAAAAAAAAATATTTAAAAAAAAAAAAAAAAAAAATAAAAAAAAAAAAAAAAAAAAATAATTTTAAAAAAAAAAAAAAAAAAAACGGGGGGGGGGGAGAAAGAAAAGGAAGAAGAAAATAATAATAAAAAAAAAAATTTTAAATTTTAAATCCATTTTAAATAAACAATGCGGCACATTTTGTTTTTCGTTGTCGTTGAAGAGTAGAAGGGTCGTTACAAGTGCAACGACTTTTCTATTCCTTCAGGCAATGTTCTTTTTGAAAAACACAAAATTAAGTACGAAGAACAGTAAAAACATGAAAAAACGATGAAAAACAAAATGTGCCGCATTGTTTATTTAAAATAGGCCATAAAACATGATTCTGACGATGAAATAATCCGTCGGTTTGTCAAAGCACGCGCAAGGTGCTTAAAAATGTTTTAAAAATAACAAAAGTTACAAACTGTTATGAGAAGTATAAAAATATTGTGTGGGACCACATGGATTTTTTGGAAGATTTTTTTGGAAGATTCACTTTGGAGGGTCTGCGTAAAAAAATAATTTTACTTTTAAACATGTTTTTCGTAGGTTTTATGCCATAGGCTATCGTTTAAAATAGTTTTAAAAAATTTTAATTTTTTGATTCATTTGGGGGACCTTTGTCTACTTTTTTGACCCGCCAATTGTAGGGGGTTGAAAATTAGAAGAACAGGGTCTTCTATTAGAATTTTTACCTAGACTTCTACTTTAGGGCAATGAAGAGATGGAGCTTCCGAGATCAAATGGTGATGAAGATGATCCAAGTGAACAAATTGTGAGAAATAATGCTTGATTGTTGATGATGTTGATTTTTAGGCTGAGGCTGGAGGCGAAGAAGTGCCAGAACTTACTGAAGGTGCTCATACTCTCATTCCAAGAGAAGAGAAAAAGGAAGATGTTCCTGAAAGGTTAGGAAACTTTTAAGAAATTCTTCAAACGACACTTCCAGCTCCAATCAAGAAGCGAATAATGCCGAAGGTGAATCGGCAGCCTTTGTCAAGGAAAGTAACGATGCTGAAGAGAGTAAACCGGACTCATCGCAGGTAACTTATTCACCATTCTAATATTCCGTATCGGTGTGTGCTGAATGATTGGTGTTGAACGTTTTTTGTTTCAGTTCATGCAAGAACTTAGCGACATTGTGTTGGGTGTTAATGCTGGAGAACCGATGGATGAGCATCAAGTCCCTTCCAATCTAGCGTCGATGCCCGTTGACGGAGCGCCAAGGCAAACTGCTGGTGTCCCAATGCCACATGATGTCTTAACAGCACAACAATCACGAATGAACAAGCAGGTCAATTCACTTCCACTGTTAGCACTCACCGTTTGCCAATCATAATCCGTTTCTTTGGTTTCAAATATGCAAAAACAATGTTATCTTGACTTACTGGAAATTTAAGGCGTTTGAGGAACCAATTGCTCAACAATTTGCGGATGAACCACAACAACACGTTCAACATGACGGCGCTTTGTTGCAGAATGGTATTCATTTGTAAGCAATGTGCTCACTATACCACTTTAGATGACAAAAAAGACGAATGGTTTGATATTGGAATCATCAAGGGAACCCAATGCAATGTAACACACTTCTTTTTGCCGTCAGAGTCAACACTTGAACAACATTATGGAGTAAGTATGCCCAGTAACAATTAAATATTGTATCCAAAACCAAAATAAATCCTTACTGGAGATGAATCGACAGACATACCTTAATTCCTAGTGTTATAAGTCTTATTATTGTCTTACCAGCCTGAGCTGCTCTTTGATATATAGTAGATTGTTATTGTATCCATCCTTAATTCAGACTGATTTTGATGTTGGGATGCACGCCGGCCAAAACGTTTCATTTTTGCGCAAAGGTGCTCTTGAGCCTGGTACGGCCTACCGATTCCGTGTTGCTGCTCTGAATACAGTTGGAAGAGGTCCATGGAGTGAATTGGCAGCTTTCAAGGTATGTTCTTTCAACACATTCCTCAATCAATGACATTTCTAATCGCTTTAGACTTGTCTTCCCGGCTTTCCTGGTGCACCATCATCAATCAAAATCGCAAAAGGAGCCGACGGTGCACACCTCACTTGGGAACCGCCTGCGAATGCTGCTGGTGAATAGAAATTTCTGCAAAAGTTATAATTACCGGTCGAATTTAGTGTCTGGGCGAATCATTGAATACTCGGTTTACTTGGCCGTTCGTAACACAACTTCCAATGGAGATTCACAGCTGGCTTTCATGCGAGTGTAAGTCCCATGAAAATGACATAAAATCATCAAAGCATTCAGTTATGTTGGGGTTGAGCCAAGCTGTGTTGTAACGCAAAACAATCTGAATGCCGCCTATGTGGACACGACGGCCAAACCGGCCATCATTTTCCGTATCGCGGCAAAGAATGAAAAGGTAAGAAAAAGTCGAACAGCTTCGTAGCAGTTTTGAGCCCGATATTCTTTTTAAAAAGCCATTTTCAGGGATATGGACCGGCCACACAAGTCAGATGGCTTCAGCTTGAGTCAGAGAACCGAAGAAATGTTGCTCCAGCGGCTAACAGGTAAAGTGTCAAGTATTAGGTTGTCCAGAAAGTCTTTTCGTTCCTTTTCGTACTTCTGTTAAAAAATAACAGATTCACCAATTAACCTATGGTTTGCTCTAAATAAAAAAGTGTTTATTGTTGGTCAATTTCTCATCTCTTTAAGTTATCTATTGACACGAAGATAGGTTTCCTTGGCTAAAGTGTCTAAACCCCATCATCGAACCGTCGCCCTTTTTGACTACCCGACTTCATGCTCCCAAAAAATCCAGACATAAGACATTTTAAAGCCGTTTTAATGTTATTTTGCGGAAAAATAAAGGCCTTTGTAACGAAACAAACTGTAGTTCAATTGGTGCATTTGTTGGTTTTAAACGGAAGTACGAAAAGGAATGAAAAGACTTTCTGAACAGCCTAATACTTGCTACGAAGTTTGCTCTTTTCTTTCCATACCTTTTATACAACTTTCTTTTCAGATATCCTGTCAGTAGTATGTCCTCTCAACAATCAGGAGGATATTATCTACCAACAAAGCGAATCCGAATGGATCAATAAGCTTTTTCTTAATTGTTTCATTTGAGCTCGCTCTTGTCGTTAGTTGTTTCCAAGATCTCCATTTTTCACATTGGTTCATCAGATTACAACATTCTTGCATGTTTTTTCGTTGATTCTCATTGGCGTTTTCAAGTTTTCCCATATCTCTGAATAAAGGTTTTGAACATTTTGTGAAGAAAATACAATTTTTGAAAGGTAGATAACCAGATTGCGCGAAAGGGCAATGTATTCGAGAAATCGTTTAAGAGATACTGTATCACTTGCACGGAAACAGAAATGTTTTAATGTGCAAAAAATGGCTCTCTCAAATGATCAAGCCAAAAAGACTCTTGTCCGTTTTCTCTCTTTTTTGCGAATTTTTTTAAAAAAAAAAAAAAAAAATTTTTTTTTTTTTTTTTTTTTTTTTTTTTTTTTTTTTTTTTTTTATAATTAGAACTTTGCTTAGAGATAATATTAATGCTAACTTTTTATATAGTTTTAAAGAGGACAATTTACCGTATTTCTATAAAAAGTTAACATTTAGCATTAATATTATCTCAAAGTAAACTTCTAGTTATCAAAAGCGTCTCAAACTTCGCAAAAGTCCGGGAAAATGGAGAAAGAGCCAAAAACTGTTACCATGACGCCCGAATTTTTGTTATGCAAAGTAATTGAAATTGATAGTATTCTTTAATTTTTCGAAAATAGCTTTAATACCAGTGTTTGCTTGCAATAATTGGTTTAAAAAACGTATATAGAACTTTAGAACCCGGCTCCTAAGATCCAGTTCATGACAAAATGGCAGAGGTGAGAAATGTAAATATTATAAATGCATCTCGTAAAATGAGATATGTAGATAAATAAATTTGCTTTAGGTTTCTGAGTTAACCGCTGTAGTGGTGTTGAAATGGAGATCGATGTCAAATGATGAACTGAACGATGAACTCGCTCGATGGAATCGAAATTTCTCCACCCGATTTGCATTCTCCGATATTTCGATTGACAGTAGAAAGGTAAGTTTACGATTTATGCACTAAATAAATGGAAAATACAGGAAATTTCATCCTTTTTCACGGAGCTCGTCGATGATAGAACGTCAAGTGAAATTCGACGAAAACTTCTCGAAATGGTGCGCCTTTTGGCAAGAGATTCCAACAATTTGGAATACCTGCTCAATGAGGTTTTGTCTAAATATTAAGTTGCAATTACTAGTTATGCAACTTTAGAGACTCTGTGATTTCATCTTCGAGCAAAATGGAATTTTAGAAGGGCATAATGCGGAAGAGATTGAATTGCAATGTAAGCGCTCACAATCAGTAATTGTCGAAGCTGAGTCTATTTTCAGCAATGATAGAAGCCGAAAAGTGTTTGATCAATCTTTTGCGTCAATCGGCGTCTGCTCGAGGCTTTTTTGAGTAAGACAACACATTTATCAATGGAAATCGTGGAAATCATTTAGGAAAAAAGCGACTAATGGATTACTGAAACGACTGAAAGAATATACAAATGGCAACGGTTTACAATTGGTTTGATATTTATTTTTAACTTAAAGTCTCAGAATTCTAGAATGCTTTATCGCAGCTGGCTGACAAGGAAGTAACGAACGAAATTTGGTTCTTTGATCTGCGAATCGCATTTATCACTACAGCATATCTCCAAAGTTTACAAGTGCATTAAAAAGCTAATAATAAACTACCGTTTACATGAATGTTTACAGTATTATGCTATTTTCAGACGATGTGTAGAAACGATGAATCTTTCATGAATGCTTTGATAGTTACAATTGAACAAGAGATTCACAAGTATGTTTTTTCGATAAACTTTTTTGATCTCATTCGAATTTAGTAGCACTTCTTCTGAGACAAGGGAGTTTCCCCGAGCCAGCGAAGCAATGAAAGTTCTCTACAATGTTATTTGTCGATGTGGTGGAAAGGACTTCCCGGAGGTTTAAATGAATTGATAAAAATTTATAACTTTTCGCTTTCAGAGTGTTGATACAACGAGGCTGATTGAGCTTTCATGTGAAATAATCGGAATCGAGAAAATCGTGGGAAAAGAGCTAGTTCAACATTCTGTCAATCTGCTGACCGCATTGCCACAAGGAACAAAGATGTGCTCGATTGCTTGCCCTCAGGTTTTTCTGAAAACTGAATAAGAAACAAAGAGCAGTGACAATTTCAGATCACTTCCCACTATGAAGGTCCACATTTTGATAGAAGAGACATGAAAATACCCGATAATTTGATTAAAATCCTTGCTCAACAGCTCGCTGAAGTAAGTAAATCTAATCAGTTTTTGTCATCTGTAAAATCCTCGAAAATTTAGGTGAATCCATCGGAACGAGAACTTTTAAACACATATTTTGTTATCTTGCTCATGTTGTGTACGGAATGCAAAGAGGCAAGACGATACTGTCGATTATTGGTGAGTTTTGGTTGGGTTGAAACGTTTCAAAATTCGTATTTTAATTAATTAATTATCGAAAACTTAGGTTTTGCCGCCATTAACAGCAGCGGATGTGGCACGACGACCGGACGAAGGGGACACACTGAGAAATAAAATGATACGAGCCATTCACAGTACTGTCAGCCGGGATCTTGCTGCCGAATTCTTGTTCCTTTTGTGCAAAAGATCCGGTTGAGTCATACTTTAGTAAATTTACCATTTCTCATTTATTGTAGTCCCTCGAATGATCAAGTATACCGGTTTTGGGCATGCTGCTGGTCTTTTTGCCGATAGAGGTCTACTCGGGAAAGTTTCGGAGCGAAAGGAAGGAGACAGTGAAGATTCGGAGACTGAAGAGTATCAGAATGTTTCGAATGAGTGAGTTATTTTCCTAAAATGAAAAGAAATGGCGGTAACAACAGTTTGAAAAGTTGGCGTTGTTTACTGTTTATAAATAAATTATCTTTGAAATTCAGCGTAAATCCCGTCTCCGGATACATTCAACAAAGAGGTGCGAATCCACTTGAAGGGATGACGGAAGAGCAAAAAGAATACGAAGCGATGAAACTTGTCAATGCAATAGATCAGGTAAAAAGAATTTCAAGATATCTTGCTGTAATCAATTTAAAACTTCGAGGTATTAAAGAAAATTTTAGATGATGCGAAGTGGTGGAATCCGGCCGGCATCAATTGGTGCTGATGGCCGACCACGAGAAGTATCACATGTGCTTGAACTTTGCAAGGATGCGCCCGAGAGTCGAGAGGATTCAGATGATGAAAATTAATTTTTATTGGAACACACAATATACCGTATTTTTCCTAATAGTATGACGTGCCCAGTGGAGCGTCGCGTAGTCGTTGTTTACGGAAATATACGGTGTATCATTTTGTATATACTTTCAGCTTGCAATTTGCATGATCTCATTTTTGAAGTGTTAATTCAATTCTTTGTGAAAAAATAGAAAAATCAAGAATTTTCCAGTACGTTATTCATAAATGTTAATATGTTCAGAAAGTACACGAAACAAAACGTATTCAACATATAAAGGCTGTAGAATATGAGACAAAATATCCGTATTATGAAAGGATAAGACATACAAATATATGCAATGCTTAGAAATGGTACTTTTCCAAAGGTCAAATTTTAAGAATTTCGACCAAATTTGACTCCTAATGAAAAAGCAGACAAAAGTGTTATCACTGTTTTCTAAAAGAGGTAAGTGACAAGACCGGAATATCAAATTAAAGCTCAAGAAAATGCTCCCAGCAATTATCGAAACTTTGACGAACTGGGGGCATCGTATTCGGATGGAGAAAAGAAGAAGTCTTGAAGAAGAGTGATTCTCTTGTGCTCGGCTCTGAACATTTAATGGATAAAACAAACGCTGGTTTAAAAGTCAATAAACATTTTTGGAACATTAGTCGGGTTTATACTTGTATTAAGAAGTTGTACTTTTTGAAAAGCCTAATACTTTGAAATAGAATATCCACCTGTGCATGTGTGCTTCTAAAGCTCCCCTATCTGAGGTGCCCGCACGTTCAACAGCCCACGCTAGCTCTTCAACTTCTTTCTCGAGAAGACCTTGTTGATACTCGAACTGAAAGATTATGATAAGAGAAAAGCACCCAACTTGTTCCAAGCCCAAAAGATACTCTTTATCTGTTGCTTAACTTACCAAATCCTTCCTCGGGCCTTTCTCAAGGTAGTAAGCAAACGGGTATGTGTATTGAAGAGTATAACGACACCTAAAAAAGGGAAACTTGTTGGTAGAAAGCGTTGAAACCTGGCCAACAACGTTGCGGCAGTGTGCAAGTATTGCCAATCAATCCACGTACCCTCATGCTCGTTAACCTATAATGGATTTAGAACTCATCATTGTCATCTCGCTTACCTTGGCATCAATCTTTCTCTTGATCTTTTCTCTCAACTCTTCTTCCATTTTCAGCGATTTGTTGTGATTCTCATACCTGAAAAGAAAGCATAAAACATTAGAGAGACCGAACCGTTCAAAATAGTGCAGATATTTCTCGAGTGCTCGTCTCGCTTTCACATGATTTGCTTCAGCGGCAACGCTCGGATTCTCTTTGTACCGACTGCAGACATAATATTCTGATCCATGGCTTTTCCAATCTGAAATTCGCTTTTGAAATTGACGAAAAGATTGTTACAATAAGAGTTTGTTACCTCCAAAACACATCCAGCAAAAATGATGTTTGCACTTGGCACATTGCATATGATTACAGCCTCCATTTTTCTCGATACATGCATGGCATTGTGGACAATCTTTTGTATGAGCGCTGAATTTGACTTTGTAAATTGAAATCGATATTTTTGTAAACCTAATGTAGTTCGCAGTCTCGCTATCATCCGCACATTTGATCAGCCATTTCTTTATCGTGTCACAAGATGTCGGCGCGTGGTAGTCCACTCCACAAATCACACTGAATGGAATGGTAAACAAATGTGATAAACAAAAACAAAACAAACAAACAAATGTGAATTGCTAAACGAATGGTAATTGATAGCTTGATAAACTCACCAAAAAGAAGTCTTGCATTTCGTGCAAGTAGCTTTCTTGGGTTTTGTTTCTTTTGATCGAACAACCATCTAAATGAAAAAATGTTTAGGATGTTCAACCGTCACTTACTAAGCAGTCCTTTCCAACACAAAATCTCAGCTCTGGATGCGACATCACATAGTCTCGATAAAGAAAACGTTCATATCTGTCAATAACAACATATCTAATTGCCGAGGTAGACTTACTTTGCTCGAAGCGACGCCTTATCAAGAGCACGAAGGACGAATTCGGGTGGTGCAACAAGCATACAATTGGAAGCCATACATGATATTTTTGAAGATACTCCTTCAGAAAGTCTAAAACACCATTATCCGAATATTCAGTAAAATGTGTCACCGTGTTTCAAAGTAAGCTTTCCAGCAATGCACACAAAACCCGTGTCCACAGCATAGAGCTCGGAGTTCTTCATCTGGAAGGGCACTTTTTGAAATATTTTTGTTTGAATTTTGATCCATAGACTTCTGCGCTTGCAACCATTAAAGTACCTTCATGATAGCAGACAAGGCACGTGTTATTTGCCGGACGTTTGGCTGTTGACATTGGTTTGACACCTGATTTGAGCAAAGTCCCCTCGGTATCTTTGTTTAACATTTCGTGTATCTAAATTGCGTTCTTAAGCACAAAATCGAGTTTGATTGCACCTTTTTGACATCCCAATTATAAGAGAGCAGCAAAATTTTGGCTAGAGATGGCGTAATCCGCGAAACCTCAATCAATGATGCTACGCTTTCATTGAGCAGTCGTTCAACCTAAATTCACCATTTGGATTCTCCCGACTCCTCAAACGCCAATAAAGCTAATATTTTTTAGTATATCCATTTACCTGAAACGTATCTAGAGATTCAATCTTTGCTTGCTCTGCGTCAGAATTACACTTTTCATCGTCGAAGTCTTCTCTGATGTCGATATCATCTCCATCATAGTAAGCTGTAAAAGCTTGAACTTTAGAAAACTTTGATAAGCAAACCACAATCGAAGTCGTCTTCATCGTCAGTTAGCATTTGGTCTTCAGGCTCTGACATCACTGAGTGATCTTCTGAACAATGGTTGAAAATAGAGAGAACAACAAAATGACAATCAATGGAGATGAAGTGATGGATTCTAATTGTGTTCTTCATACCAGAGTCAAGCGGTGGCAATTTGTCTAGACAATTACGGAACGAATATTGAAAAGTTTCTCATAGTTTCCTTTGAGTTTGATTCTACGCTTGCTGCTTTACGCGTTAATGGGCATTGCTGTAGAAACGATGCGCAATAAATCACATTTACTTAAACAAACAAAATATGGATGCAAAAGTGCAAATTTGGTCGATAAACACGGCGAACTGTCTGTCTGAAACATACCTAAACAGCTGATTATTTCACGAACAATGGCCACCGTTTTTAGGGAAGCGTGGCGGGACCTAGTTTTCTTTCTTTCTCCATAATATTGAACTCAACTAGTTTTGCAAGGTTTAAAATTGAAATTTGATTACTTTCAAAGCAAAATGGATCACATGGATCAACACAAAGACATACAAATAACAAAATCAATTTACGGTTGCTAGTCTATTGAAAAAAATACAAAATACAGGTCCACTCGTCCTCATCCAGTCAACCATGAATGCTCGCCAGTATATGGAAATATTAGAAAATGTCTACTTCCATTTGCTCAGGATTACATGGCTCCTAGATAGTTTCTCTACCAGGACAATTCGCCGGTTCACAAGAGCAAGCCCATGATGGGTCCCACGGTGAGTCTCTCAAATGGAGGAAAAGCCGATCTCCCTGGATGGTTTGCCCTTAATAATGTTTTGTTGGTCAATGTGCCCCCTATGTCGCCTGATTTAAACGTTATTGAGAATTTATGGGCTTACGTGAAGACAAAGTTACGAGGAAAAGATTTTCACACAAAAGTTGACTTATGGTTATACATACGAAAAGTTTGGAGCTTAATTCGCCCAGCAATTCTTCACGAATTAGTCGACTCAATGCCTAAACGACTTAATGAAGTGATTTTGGCAAAAGGTGGACCGATTGAATATTAATTTTTGATGTTTCTGTATAACGTTGCAAGACTTTTGCACCCAGTTTTTAGGGTATTTTTTAGTAGTTTTGTCATTTACTTTTTTGTTTTACGCTAAACTTCAAATTTGTTTTTGTAAATAAAGTGTACATGTATTATTCTAATTAAAAACAAAAAAGCCCTACGAATTTTTTTGCATTTTGGCATTTTCTATAAAAAAATTTCATGGGATCTAACCAAATAGCATCAGTTTTCGATGCTTTTAAAATATCTGTGAGGGAAACTTGAAGAGGTGCACTGTTGTCGTAAATGATTCATTTTGTTAATACTCCTTTGCAAATCTCCTTGCCGTTTAAAAATGCGCAAAGTTTCGAGGAAACGATGAACTCGTTTCCGAGATTGAAACCCATCCTGTTCGACTCTTTCCTTCAATTTGGCATCTTCACCTTCTTTTCTCGTCAATTCCCTCAACTACCGGCAGCCAGTAGAAAAGAGTGAAGAGCTGTCCGCCCTCTTTGCTTCTTCTTCTTCCCCAGTCTCTTTCTTTTATTTATAACCTCATCTCCGGGATTTAGCTGAAGTCGTTTGCTTCATCTAGTCTAGTTTGTTACATTGAAATGCTTGTTTTTGTGTTTGAGTCGAAATTGAGCTTTTCTTCCAGTTTGCCTCAGAACCCAACTGAAACTGAAACAAAACTTCGATAGTTTTATCATTGAGGTTGCTTTGTTAGCTTACTTGAGCTGTTGTTAGCTTGTTAGCTTACTTTATCTAGCGTTTGGTTTATGAACTTGATGCATGATCACTACTCGGTTCATTTACCCAGATGCTTTCCCGGTGTTGATTCTTATTATGATAGCTTGTGATCTCTTAAAGCTCTCATATTATTCTCATTCTCAACGAAAATTCCACAAGAATTCCTCCCGTTAATGTTTTCGATACAAAGTCTTCAAGTTTTCCGGGCCGGTTGTGATTGAATGACTCAAAAATCGTCTTTAAATGCGTTGATAGGAATTGGCATGATTCAAAGGGAAAAGGTTTGAGTGGATCTTTCTCTTTATAAGGCTTAAGCCGCTCTCGAAGCTCTTTTTTTTACATAGGGGTCGACGGTATCGAAAGGGAAAGGAGAAAAAAAAGACTAGCTACACTTGCCGAAGAGAGAAAGAGAAATTTTCCTTTCTTCTCTCAATTTCTTTTACCTGTTTCTTTGAATGTTCCTTTTCCCCCAAAGGGGAGGGTCTTCCCTTTTCCGAATTTCGGTCCACAGTCACACAGCGTGATCTCCCCTGATTTTGGGACAAAGGGATATGTGAAAAGAAAAAAACCAGCTCAATCAACCTTCCCTTTTGCATTAATGAGACTGATTGTGTGCTGAACAACAGTTATTTCAAACAATTTGTCTTTTTATTAAAGTTCACTAATAATTCTCGAAAGATTTTCTCTCTCTTGTAATCAAAAATTGTTTTAGATTTATATGAAAAAAGCATGCTCGATCCTTTCATGAATAAATTATCCTTTTTTTATTTTCTTCTGTTATTTTTGAATATTCTGGCATCTGATGAAGCGAAAAGTAAAGGTGAGGAAAGAATTTGGAGAGAAATAAATAGGAATCTAGAATCAACAGGATGTCGATTCTTGTCCTCTCCGGATGCTCGTTTCGTTTCTTTGAATTCCCCAGTTGACAGCTTTACGCTATTATTCAAAGCAGCTGTTCATCCAAGCGATGCCGAGCTGATGATTGCTTCTGTTAGAAGTAATAACATTGAAAGGGTATGTTAGAGAAAATTCCAAGCAAGAGTATAGCCAACTAAAGGATTTACTCGTTACTGCTCACAGAAATATCTAACTGTAATGAAATTAGCAAATCCACCCTTTCCAGACCAACTTCACGTCAAAATTCCGTTTGGAGGGCCCCGATTCGGAGGGAAATTTCGCGATCAGCACCATTCAACCCTTAAGACTTCCACCATATCCATTTCCTTTCACCGAGTATTTTTCACGATCTGTACAAATCTAGTCCCCAACTTCAGAACCATGCTCTACACAACAGTTGTTTGTAATGGAGAGGCTTATCCATTGATGACGATTCGGGTAAAATCGATGAACGTGCACACTCCATTTTTCTATCATCAGCCATATGAAGTCTTGATTTCTGAGGTGAGAAACGAAGAGCGATTTGATTTTACATTGCAAATAGGCGACTCCAATTGGCACCGAGATCGACACTCCCGTTTTGGCGGTGGATTGGGATCCGGCACATCACTATCCTGTCACTTTCGAGATCTTAGTTTAAAGATCTTGCTTTTAAGAAACTTATATAACTTTTCAGAACAACGATTCACCGTTTTCATTGGTTTCATCAAATAGTGTTCACAGTACCGATTTTCTTCCACCGGGTGCTTTGAATCGATGGCTTCCTGAACAGTTACCAACTGTTGTTCGATTGAGGTGTGCTAAAAGGGTTACCCAAAGGTCTACGTTATATTTTTAGAGTGGATAAAGCCCTTGATTTCGAAACTCAACCAAACCATTTTTTGCTCAACATTAGCGCCAAGGTTTGTTTGACCAAAATTCTGAATTCGCTCAAAAATTTCAGGACAATGCTCAGCCACCAAATGTGAATTACACTCAAATCTTGGTGAAATTAATCGATTTCGACGATTTCCCTCCGAAATTTACAAGCGACGACTATTTGGCTGTGATGCCGAGGGTATCTTTTTATAAAGCTTTTTAGTTTTATGAGATTGGAATTGGAATTGGAGATTGGAGAGATTGGAATTGGAATTCAGAATTGGAAAGTTGGCGCCACTCTCTCTGTTTCTCCTCCATTGAAAGCTGTTGATGGAGATTTCGGTATTAACAAGACTATTATCTACAGACTTGATGCAAATGCAATGGGTAATTTTGAAAGTTTATTTGTTGATCATTTACCCAAATACATCTAGATACATTTACAATTGATGAGCAAAGTGGAGAGATAACAATTATTGATGAGAAGGCAGCTATACCAGAGACGATCATCGTTACGGTAGGTGTTGAGGGGAATTGCAAACAGTAGAACAAATTCAGTTGAAAAATAACAAATTCACTAAGGCTCTAAATAAAAAGTGTTTATTGTTTAATTTCTCATCTTTTTAAGTCAGTTTGGGCTCACTTTCAAGCAAATTCGAAGATGAAAACGGGTTTTCGTTCAAACATAAGACATTTTAAACCCGTTTTAATGTTATTTTGTGGAAAAATAATTGGCCTTTCTAAGGAAACAAACCGTAGTTCAATTGGTGCATTTGTTGGTTTTAAGCGGAAGTACAACAAGGAACAAAAAGACTTATTCATCCATCCAATAATTCAAAAACCTTAGGCTACTCAATCTGATCGTGAGGCGAGATCAACATCCACTCGGATTAAACTTGTCACCGATCTCCCCAAGGCTTCGTTCGATAATTGTTTTGTCAGTGGTAAGCGATCGTTCTTTGATTTGCTAACAGCCTAAACATTCTTGAGCTCCTTTAATCAAATCTCGAATTCAGTATCACTTCCCGAAAACTCTCCCATCGATACCCTTGTTGCCAGTTTGCAAATACTTCATCGAACAGAAGTCCTTACGCCAAATCATTCTTTAAACAGAGCTTTTCCAGAAAACTCAAGTCAACCTAATCGATCCAGATGGAACATTCCGAATCTCATCACCATCGTCGTCTTCTTCAACCGTTCAGCTATTTATTCAAAACCCGCGACTTCTTGATCGAGAACTCTTCTCAACACTCGAAGTCGTGCTAACCATTGAGGTTCGCAGCCATCCAAACTTGAGTTTCAGCCAAGCTCTTTCCAGGATTCAACTCCAAGCGTCTCTGAAGACAATTCTTGTCAAAAAACCCGAGTGCACATAGATTTGGTCGATGTCAATGACAATGGTCCTCATTTTGAGCGAGATGAAATTCGGTTGTGGGTGGGAGATGAGACACATGATGGCGATATTCTTCTCACTCTAAAAGCTACGGATATTGATCAGGTGGGCAAGATCAGGTGGCACAAGGGAACTATTGGAATTCAAGTATCAAATAAAAGTCTTGTGTTTAAGGGTGAGAATGGCCGACTCTCATATTCGATCCGTGTTCCCGATAATTCTAATGGAATCCCTATCGAAGTGCAAGAGGCAAATGGAGCTGCTAGCTTGGTAATTGAACTTTACAATATCTTTGGTTATTAAAAATCAAGTTTCAATCAAATTTCAGCTTTACGTTGCAGCGAAAGACTCATTTGAACGAATCAATAAAGCCTTTTTGGTTGCGAAAGATCATGGAAATCCACAAAAGTTGGATTTAAGTTTGTTAATGAGACATTTTGTGTTTTAGAGTCAAGGAGATTCCTATCGAAATGTATAGAAGAAGAACGGTTCATTCAATCAATCGATTTGTGACTGAAGGGGCTAAAAAGACAAGCGGTAAGCGATTAAAAAGATGACTTAAAAGTTTGCTTTTAGCTTCGCCCAAAATTATGACACGAGCAAGTACTCGAACGTCAACGGAGAGAATCGAAACGACTCCTGAACAACAACTTTTTCAAACAAAGACCCCAACTACCACATTTGAGACATCTAGCACTACGCGAAAAGTTGTTAGAACTACTGAAACCCCAACCATCACTGAGACTACTTCAACAACCATATCAACAACAGAAGCCACTACCACAACCACAACCACAACCAAAAGTACTACAACCGAGCCAGTCACTGAACAAACAACTCAAAGAGTTCAAACTACTTCATCTCAATCCGAAGAAATTAATCTTTCTTCTTCCGATTTCCTTTGGAAACAGATTGAATTCCTTCGTCAAAATGGTGTCATTGGGCTCACTGAAGTGCCCACTGAAGCCGAGCTGCAATTTTTCCGAACCCATAAAATTTTACCCCCACAACTCTCGACAATGCGGCCAGAGGAAAATGCTGAGAACGGAATTGAAAGTGAAAACCTCAATCAACAGAAAACAACGACAGAAAGAGAAAGAACCAAAGCACCAGCGATGAGAATTGCTGAAACAACTGCTGGTGGAGAGATGGAGATAAACTCCACAAAAGAGATGGAGTTTCTCAGAAGACATGGAATGTTGGGAGTGCCATTGGTGCCACATGAAATATCAAAAACAAGTGAACCGTTGAGACCAATTAACACTGAAACATTCACAAAAACGGCTGTAGAAAGTGGAGAAACACAGAAAGGTTTACAAGTTGAGCAATCCTCGGCTGAACTCGCCTTTTTGAGAGCTCACGAAATGAAGGGTTTCGTTGGAATTGAGAATAAGCACAATACATCAAGGAGGCCACAACGAGTAGAACCAGTGATTAGAGATCGATTTGAAGAGGCTAAAGTTTTGATGGAAATCGAGAGAATGAAGGCAATAGTGCCTGCCATTGTTCCATCAACCATCGCAACTACTTCTGTGACTGTGGTAGGCCAGTATTTGATAGCTTTTCAACTTTAATTTTTAGCCAACAACTTCTGAAGTATTTGAAACATCAACGATTGAAGAACAAGTGTCACAGGAGCAAGAGGAGAGTGTCTCAATTCCCGAGGATAAAATCGATGAAAACCCACCAGAGCTGGAAACAGAAGGTATTTTGAAGGCTAAAAAACCTCAAGTAGACAAAATAGTGAAATTGATTTTATGTTGAAACTTTCAGAGCCGGTACCGCCACCAGTGTTCCATTTCATCGACGACAACTACAAGATTGAATTGTATGGACCGTTGGCTATTGGAGAGGTTTGTGGAGTTGTTGTTGTTGAATGAATTTGTTGTTGTTGTTGAATGAATTTATATTTAAGAGCTGAATCATATCATTTTAAGGTCTAAATTTTTACAGTGTCAGTTTAAAAAATGAAATTGTTTCAGAAAATCGGTCGAGTGGTGGCTTCACCACAAGCTAAAGCATACGGGATCGATCGAAGGGTTTTCGAGAAGTTTGGTGTGAGTGAATTTGGAAAAAGTTGCCTTTAAAACTTTATTAATGCGTTATATTGATGCTAAAAATGTTTTCAGATCGATTTCGATGGTGGATGGATTTCATTGGATGAAAACATGGGCGATTCGCTCAATCATCCCGGCACTTTTCGTTTCCATGTCTCCGCCACGGATGGAGTGAAAACGGTTGATTATTTTGATTGAAGCATTCAAATATTCAAATATCTACTCAGATTGAATTGCTCAAGCATGTTTAGACTAAAAACATTAAGATTTTCTTTTCCTTTTCTTCAATTTGGGCAGGAGAAATTGACTGAAAACCATCAGAGAACACCTGTCCATTCTGTCCATTCCATTCCGTCCATTCCATTCTGTCCATTCCACTCTGTCCATTCCTTTCACTCCAATTCACTGAAAATAACGTTTAGAAAGAAAACAAATCAAAATTCGAGAAATGAGTCGAAGTTTTTCTCGAACTTCAACACTTATATCCGCTTTGGCCTTTCTATTCTACATGATTTACCTGCACTAGAAGTAAAGAAGCTTAACGTAAGAAAGTTAAACGAATGAGATTGTTTGTTTTTCAATCTCTGGCTGATCCAAATTCATATCTCAAAACCCATTGATCTTTCTTGTTTCCTTTTCCTTTTCTCTCTCTGTCACTCCTTCAATTCCATCGACCCAATAACTGCATAATTAGCGGTTAGACGATGGGATAAAGGCTTTTGAATCAAGAAAAAGAAAGAAAGGTACCCATTTTGGGGTCAAAATGGCCGGCTGCCAATTGTTTCCAAATCCATAAATATGGCATGGTTTGAAAGAGTTTGAGGACAAGATTTGTGGAGCTTAATAGATATAATTCTTTGATCATTCTTTTTATCAAAGGTTCACCTTGTACTAGCAGTCTCTAATCCTCGAATTTCTTCAAGATTTGTTGCTGATTGCTGATCACGGGAAAAGAAACGAGAATGAATCAATTCGCAAAAAGAAATGAATAGTTTAAGAAATAAGAGAGAGAGAGAGAGACTCGTTTTCTCGATTCTTTTCCCTTTTCTTAATTGATTTTTCTCAATTCTTGAATGTGAATGAATGAGTGGACATCCCGCACTTGATTTCCCCCAAAACCAATCCCGAAACAGGCAAAAACGAGATTTAGGAGGGGCGAGGGGAAATGAAAGAATGGGAGATCTCGATCTCGATGGATGAATGACTGAATGTGGAGATCAGAGCTATCATTCAGATGGAAAGAAGAGTTCTGCAGATAGCAATGATCCGGTCATAAATCCCTACATTTAAATACGTGTAGGATTAAAACAACAGTAAACCTATTGAACTTGTTTGAATGTTGAACAATTTCCATTTCTATCATTTTAGTTAGCTTCAAGACATGTAAAACAACTACAATACATTTGTCAAGCTGTAAAAGTGACTTTTCTTTGACTGAATTTGATTTGATATTGGCACAAGCACCGCAATCCTTTACTTTAAACCAAAAACTTTCTTGAGAAACTCTCATTCATCCCTTCCGGATGTAATAAAGAAAAAGAAGTGAGAGTGAAAACTGAGAAAAGAAACGAAAAAGACTACAGTCTTTTTGTGTCCCTTTGGTCATTTCGATTGGGGTTGAAACGGGGGAGAAAAGGCGATAATTTGAGTTGTCTGTAGGGCAATCCCTTCTCTTATTCTTTTTCCTTTCGAAGATCATCTTTTCTACAAGAAATCAAGTCAAATTCTTCACCGAAATTCTTTTAAAAGTGAGGAGAAAGCTTTCACCTCTAAATGATTAATGCTCTTCATTTAAAAGACTTAAAGTTTGTTTTTCCTTTCTTTTCTTTACTTTCTGTAACTCTTGGAGCGATTATGAAATGTTTCATTTGAATAATTCATAAGCAGCGGTTTCTTGTGATCCTTTAAAAGACGAAAGGTGGTGAGAGATGGGGTGCACACCAAGGAAAAGGTGAAGGGACAGGTGTGCGTGTGCGAGTTCCGCCCCTCCACCCTTCCACCTCCAGGAGCCTCAAAATTTCCCAATTCTCTCTTGCTTTTTCTCCTCGAATTCTCTCTAATCCTTTTTTTTCAGTGGTTGTCTTGTTGCCAAGGACCATTTCCCTTTACTGGACAACACTCTAACCCAGCTTCTTAACATTAAACTTCTACTCAAATCCCCTTCATTCAATGCCAATTCGATGAGAGCACTCAAGATACTGCTCTATCTATTGCTTTATTGTATTCTCCGCGTTGAATCGCAACAAACACCGGTAATTTTTAGCGTGTAGACCATTCAACTATTGCATTTACAGATAGCACTGTTATGTAGACAATTTAAGCATGACTGTAATGCACTTTAGATTTTAGAAATCTTTTTCTAAAGCCGTAATTCTTTCTCACAGCTCTTCTTTCTTGTATTTGTTATTTGAATGTCTACGAGACCTAGTTTTCTCTCGATCGCTTACAAAAGAGTCAAAAAAATGAGGGGAGATTGTGGTAGTTTCTTGTTTTTTTTTCTCCACTACCATTGTCTTCATTGTGTGTACAAAGAAGATTCCCAGTCTGTTTCCTTTTCATTCATTTTCAGTCAAATACCTTGAGAATCGTCGAGTAAGAAACTCATTGAAAGTCAAGAATTAGTAGGAAAGCACAAAATTTCACCTGTAGTCGCATGGTTAGTTGAGAAAATAAGAGCATGAGCCTCTTGTGGATAAGCTACTTGAAGTCAAAAAAGAGTTTTAAGGAACTTTGTTTAAAGAATTAACTCCAAGGGTTAATTTATCCCCAATTTAGGCTCAATCATGGGTTTCTGTGCGGGTCGATCCAACAAAGAGTATCTTTGCTGCAATTCCTCGTTTTGATCAGGTAAATAAATAAATAAATCAATATTTAAATGTACGGTGAGATCTCACAGATAACAGATTTAACTATTTCCTCAAAAAAAATTCTTTCCAGTCTTCTTACGAGATCTTTGTCACCGAAAATCAAGCACCCGCAGTGATCACAAAACTCAGGGTTTGTTTATGTTTCATGTTAATCATTTTCTACTTAAAATGAGATATTTAAAGTGCATCTTATTTCTGAATGAATCAATTTCAGGCTTTCCATCGTGCCGCTGCCCTTCATCAAGATCGTCTTATTTATTCCCTGTTGACGAGTGAACGAAATCTTCCTTTCTCTATTGAGGTGAGAAAAAGATTTTCAAAATAATTACTGCTAACACTAGCAAAGTCAACTTAAATATCAAATATACAAATTTCTGAAAACGGTTTCACTGTGCTAAAGCAAAACAGCAAAGCAAAGCAAAACATTTATAGGCAAACTCGGGTCAGTTGGCGGTGATCGTGGAGTTGGATCGTGAAGTGAGAGATCGATACAATTTCCAGGTAACAAATCATTTCAGCAATCTTAATTTCTCTTCATTCACAGGTGCGTGCCTGTCTATTCTTGCATCCATCTGTCTGCGGGGTCTCTTCAGTAACCCTTTTCGTCAATGATCTCAACGATAACACACCAAAATTCCCATCGAAAACCTATCACTTAGTGGTGCCAAATGATTTGTCAAAGGTGAGATTTAGAAAGAAATTCTATGTAGAAGATAAACTAGATATTGAACTCATGTTTCAGGGCTCTGAAGTCGTTCAGTTAGTAGCTCGAGATATGGACTCTGGCAGTAATGGCATTGTCACATATGCAATCAATCCCCCAAGTGGTCAGTGGAAAGATCTTAATAAATAAATAAATAAATATAAACTACACTTATCTAACATTTTCAGAGACTTTTGCAATCGATCACTCATCCGGACAGGTTTCTTTATTGAGAATACCAGAGAAATCGAGATATTCTCTCATCATCGAGGCTTTCGATCATGGAGTGCCGAGAAGGTTGCAAGAGTTTCAAAAATAATCATCAATATATAATAAAATTATCTGAAAGTTATCTTGATAGCATATTTTAGAACAACATATGCTGAGCTGAAGATCACTGTTGAGGGAAGCAATCCCAGTGCCCCACAGTTCGATCAGGTAATCTAATTACAATGAAGATCATAAGTAGAGACATTATCTCTATCTTTTTACCTTTTTCTTATCTTTTTCTTATCTTTCATATCTTTTTCTTCTAGAGCTCGTATTCGTTCTCTGCAGAATCTCCAGTACGAGTGGGACAAGTCGTAGGCACTGTTCACGCCACCGATCCCGATCCTGGAGAGGATGGAATGGTAAAAGGATGATAAATAAGATTGCTATAGATAGCGAAGAAGAAAAAACATCGATACCTATTTTAGGTCAGCTACACTTTTGCCAACACCAACGACAAGAAATCATTCCGCGATCAGCAAACGTTCTCGATTAACTCAAAGGTGTCTTATCAATGCTGTTAGATTGTTATTACCGTTAAAAATTTAGATAGTAAATCATTCTGTTAAACAAAAATTGGAACATTTAACTATCATTATATTATTTTTCTTTTTTAGACCGGTTCAATCTCAGCTCTGACCCCACTGACTGTAATGGATGGACCTTTCCATTTGGTGATCGTTGCAGCTGATCAGAATCCGACTTTCAGGTAAACTACAACTATAATTATCAAATATATTTCATTCAAATATTATATTACATGCAAACTTTAGCCGAAAAACTCAAGTGAATGTGAAGATTGAAGTACAAGGCGGAGCGGGTCTTCGTTTCCTTCCATTACCCGCTATCGTTTACATATCAAGTGAGAAGCCAACGGGAAGTGTTATATTGAGGTGATTAGCTGAATATCTTTTTGAAAATTATTATTTGATTCTAGAGCCTCTGCTTACACGAGTGGTTCAACAGATGTCAGCTTCCATGCCATCGATTCACCTCAAGAATTGACAATGGAGGGTGATTCGTTGAAAGTGATCGGGCAACTCAAACCTGGCGTTTCAAATATTACGATCAGGTTGGCATAATGATTGAGTATATAAACATAAAATCGTTCCAGAGCTGAGACCGAATCGGCTCATGTTGATCACATTGTTCGCGTTGTGGTGATGAACGATCGAGACAAATATCCGGTTTTCCCGAAACTGTCCTATGATTTGGAAGTAAGTGCTTGAAATCTACTCCAGAATTCTACCAATTTCAAATTCTATTCTAATCGATCATCAATTTTGTTCAGATTCCAATCGAGAGTCGTTTCCCGATGATTGTCACTCGATTTGAGCCTCTCCTCGAGAACGGAACCGTCAAATTCTCACTATTCCCACCAAATCGAATTCCGCACGGGTTGAGTATTGATGAGAATACGGTAATTGAAAATGAATTCAACTTTTAATAATCGAATCTAGGGATCGTTGCTTGTGACAAAAGAATATGTGGAATCTCCCTCAAATCGAGACACCGTTTTCCTCGTGATTCGAGCGATCAACTCGAATTATCCCGATTTCTACTCGGACGTCGGAGTAAGTCAACAAACTTTATCTACTCACAATTTACATTCCTTTTACTAGCCAATACTTTAAATATAATATTTCCTGACATTAGGTTTCTCTCAATCTGATCTCTTCGACGGCTCGCGTTCGTTTTGCTCAATCCATCTGCGAGGCTCATGTACGAGAAAATGCTCATCTCGGAACAGTTCTCAGAGAGAAATTGGAAGTAAGCTCTCTATTTTTTGTCTGAAATTAACTGAAATTGATTCTAGATGGAAAGTGAATCATTCCCTTCACAATCTCCATTAATGTTCTCAATTACTCCATCCAATCCACTCACCGTTCTTCAAAATGGCTCACTTGTTGTCAATGATGTGATCGATTTAGAGAAAATGCCCGTTGATCATGACTCATCGATGATTTTTGTGGTTTGTTTGGATTATAGTTTGAAGAATATCAACTGAATATCTTTTAACTTTGTAATAGTAATTCATACTGTACTTTCTACAATAACACATCGAAAATTTCAGGTGACAGTAAGCGATGGAGAACAAAGTGCCTCAACAAAACTCCGTTTGATCATTCATGTTTGTTTTCCGACTACTGTATGCCAAAATGTTTTCCTTTTCTAGGATGTGAACGAGTTCCTTCCCAAATTCGATTACATGCACTATCAGGCACACATTGGTGAAGCAGCTTTACCCGGTATTCGCTTTATCTTTTATTTATCATGCAATTTCCCAGGCACGCCAATTCTTCGCGTACATGCGACCGATAAAGATTTCTTTGATGCAACTCATCTCGAGTATAAAATCATTGGCGGTTTGTTAGATTCTCGTACTGTAGATTCTATTATTTTCTAGTCAAGCTTCTATCCAAGATTAATCCAAACTTTGCAAATAAAATAAGCAGTAAGCGTACAGGTTCTGGAAAGGATCTCGTTCTCATTCAACAAGACGGAACAATTGTTTTGGGCGAAAAACGATTGGATCGAGAGGTTCTCGATCATTTCGATGTTCTGGTAAATTAAAGATGATTTGAAAACCTTTGAAAGCTATTTATTTCAGATTGAAGCCATTGATTCGGGTGAAAATTCGGCTGAAGCTCGTGTGGATGTGAGTTCGGAAATTTTAGAAGTAGCATAAATGTTCGGTATTTTGTATGATAAAGTTTTAATAATAAATTGAAATTAATAATAAGTCTTTAAAATATTTCTAAAGCAACTTTTCCAGATCACCGTCACCGATGCAAATGATAACGCTCCTGAGATTTTGGGAGCGCCATTGATTTGGAATGTGAATGAAGGAGAGAAAGGAGTTGGAAGTACATTCACTTTGCTTGCATCCGGTACGTTTATTGTTATTGAAATGAATCTTTTCACTTTCATTTTAGATCTCGATCAAACCGATAACGCGAAGCTCGTTTTCACCATCAAAAACGGGAACGAGGAGGGAAATTTCGAGTTGAAACAGACGTCGCCTGTTGCGGTAATTGAGTTTAATCGTTGAAATAAAGTTACCTACCGTAAATACTGTAATAGTACCCCACCCCCATAATGACGGTGCGGAGTGTTGCGTAGTCTGGCTTTGAACGAGTTTTTCTCGACATTGGTTTATGCTAGAATGCGCGCTTAGATATCAAAAAATAGCTGAAATTCAGGGCTATTTTTTGATACCAAAGACGCATTTTTTGAAAGTACGGGCGCTTTGAGAAAAATGAAATACTAAAAAACTTTTGCGACTACGCTTCCCTATAATGACGGTCGGAGCGTCGCGTAGTCTAACTTTAAACGCATTTTTCTCGCCACTCTTTTATGCTACAGTGTGTGCTTAAGTATCAAATGAAAGCTGAAATTCAGGGCTATTTTTTGATACCAAAGACGCATTTTTTGAAAGTACGGGCGCTTTGAAAAACATGAAATACTAAAAAAATACTAAAAAGACTTTTCCGACTACACGACTGTACAAGGGGTGTGGGGTACTATTACAGTATTTACGGTAGATTCTCGAAATGTGCTTATTTTGTAAGCATTTCAGTTTTTCAAATAAATCGATTTCAGTCGGTGATTCGAACAGTGAAAGCCCTTCCAAGAGATGTGTTCATGTACAAAATTGCAATTGAAGGTAGATAAATGCATACGAAATACTAATAAACTTTTGTATTTGTAGAAAAGGCACGTCTCAGAAATTTATCAGCTTAAAATCAGCTTAAAATTAGTTTAAAATTAGCTTATAATTTTAGTTCGTGACTCCGGAGAGCCGCCGATGATGTCAGTGAGCACATTGACAGTGAATTTGAGAAATGAAAAGGATAACAAAGCACAAGAAAGACCGAGATTCGCTCAGCAACAATATACACAAATGGTTTGAGTTACAAATCTTTTGAAAGCCACTTTTGGAATCTTTTGAAAACGATTGATCAAGAAGAGCAAACTTTACTATTGTTATCATAATTTTTCCAGGTTCCATCAGATCTCCCAGCCGGTTTCAGTATGCTGAAAGTGGGTGCAGAAGGTGGATCGGACGGGCTGAAATATTCCCTCTCAAACGATGAAAACTGCAACTTGTTAAGGATTGGGCCAAACGGTAAAAATGTCTTCTCTCACATGCAAAATCCTTCTTTCAGGAGAGCTCTCTTTCGTGAGAGATGATCGTGGGGATGTTACACAAATAACGTGCAATGTTGAAGCGAATGATGGAATGAACAAAGCGTACACGAGGATTGTCGTAAAATTGGAGAAAACGTTTGCCGGGTAATTTGCATTTGGAATTCTATTGATAATTTGTATTTCATTCTATTTCAGAAAACCGAATCGTTCAAATCATCCGCCCCGATTCGAGCGCTCGAATTATGTGTTCCGTGTCGATATGAGCACAGTTCAAGCAGATCCACGAGGACGAGTAAGAAACTTTATCTACTATATATAAAAGAACAGTGTCTGTCCGTTCGTCCATCTGTTTTTACGGGGTTTTTGACCGATTTCACAATATAAACCCCAATTCTTTAGTTGATGGGAATGGTTTCTGCGATTGATAATGAAAATGATCGAATCAATTTCTCGATTGAGCCGGCTGAGTATCGAAATCTTTTTGAAGTGGATCAAGAGGTAAAAGCGAGAAAAACTCAATGATTATGGCGAAATCTAAAACTTTCAAACTTTCAGGGTGCTCTTTGGGTGAGATCTTCCACTTCCCCATCAGATATTTCTTCTCATACACCATCTTTTTTGATTGTCGCCACCGATAGCGGCTCTCCTCCACTTGCCTCATTCGCTAATGTCCGTGTTGTGTTCAGTGGACTCGATACCATTGAAACAACACCTAGCACTTTGAATCAAGTTGATGTTTGTTTGATTTTCTTTTTTCTTTGTAGTTTTGTTTTTTAAGACCGAAATGTCGATTGATTCAAAAGCAACAATGGTCACAAAGATTCCCGAGCTTTCCACGACGGTTTTCACTGTTTCTGATGATGTGAATACCTCGGAGCGACCGGTAAGTTGACAAATTCGTGTATTGCACAGTGAATGTTATTTTCTAGATTGAAAGCACGCGATTCAACGCTTTTCCAAGCACGCAATGGGCTTCACAATCAAAATCGAAACAAAAAACGATCACCACTGTAAGACCTGGTGAGTTTCGAGTTTGAGTTGAGTTTATTTTTCTATAAATGATTTTTTCAGAGTTGACAATCTTTCCTAAACACACATCAGCTCATTCAATGAATCCATCAATTCGATCCACGGTCATCCCAATCACTTTAATGCCAACATTTAAGTCGACAACCACCATTTGGAAGAGTGAGTCGACTTTAGTAAATAAGCTTTGGCATTGTCGTCATATTGTCGTCAGTCAGCTAACTATGTTATCTTTAGAAATAGATGGGGGATCGGAAAAAGAAGATGATGATTCGGGAATGGACACGACAACATTTGACGAAGTGGTGGAAAAGAATGGAGAAGAGGGAATGGAAAATGGAGAAAGACAAGAAGATGGAGATGATTCATCGACACCATTCCAAAACGAACATCCTTTCAGGCATCCATCCATTTTCCATTTTCCTATACCAAATTACATTTTAGTGAATCGATTGAAGACATTTCGGCTGAACCCGAATCATCCACAGCGATGCCATCCGAATTCCAGTTAAATCTCATATTTAAGATTTTAAATTATGATTTTCAGCTTCGAACACCCAATGTATTTTGCATCGATGCCAGAGGGAAGATACAGTAATGGAGCTCTTCTCAATCTCCGCCCACAATCACTCACAACAAATGGAGAGGTGGAGGCAAAATCAGTGAAAAATATTATAGCTATAACAACAGCTATAAATTCATTTATTTCGAGGCTTAAATTCTGGTCAAGACTAAGAAATTCTTTCAGAAAGTCGTGTACGCATTAGAAGACGATTCAATCCCATTCCACATTCGGGAGACAACAGGCGAAATCGTTATCCTCGATGTCGATCGAGAGAAAACGCCGTCTTTCGTTTTCAAAGTGATTGTGAGAAGAAAATTTTGAATTGAAATACTCAATCCTTTTCCAGGCAGTTTCATCCGATGTCAGCGGTTTTAAGATGCGAGCCGAGACTCGAGTAAATGTGACGATTCTTGACGTCAATGACAATTATCCCCTCTTCGTTTCCCCGCCCGAATCACTTGGAGTCGTTGGTTTTAGAGAAATTCCAAGCTTTCAACTTATACAAAACTTTTGCATGATTTGATAGCTGATTGGTTTAGTCCGCTCAACTTCCCCTCAACACCGAGATCCTCCGTGTTCAAGCAATTGATGCGGACGAGGGACGAAATGCTGAAGTCACTTATGAAATCGGCAAGAATCCTTGGATACAAATCGACTCTCAGAGTATTAAATAGTTTTCTATTTTGTTTATAATCAGAGTTTAGGTGGAAGTCTGTTAACAAAGAATAGCCTCACCAATGCTCCGTCGAGTTTCGAGTTGCAAATCTTCGCAAAAGATGGAGGACGGCCAGCATTGAAGACAACACATATGGTAAGGAGCAAAGCAGTAGTAACTGTAGCTTTAAATTAAACAATGAACATGAATCCTTTCAGATTCGTGTCCGTATTTTCTCCTCATCATCTCCACCATCACTTCCAAAAGATTCTAAACCATCAATAATTTCATTTCCTTCATCAAACAATCAACTCGTCGCTCAATTCCTTGCCGGTCCAAGCAATGAGAATATGCACTATCGTTTGGTGGATGGTGGAAACGGTAAAAATGAGAAGCTACTATATACAGTGGTCCACAAATGTATTGTCCCATTGCCATCCAAAAGTTTCTTTCGTACGAAAATCTTGCAAAATAACGATATTCCCAAAAAGTGTAGGGTATTTTGCTTACCCATAATACTCTACTTTTCAGGATTATAAGATTTATCCGTATACATTGCAGAAAAATTAAAGTATAAAACAAAAACAATAAGTTACTTAACAAATAGCTCCACAAAAGTAATGTCCCATTCGCAAAGAATTAACAATTTTTTCAAAAAATTAATATTTGCCTGGTCCTCCTTTCGCTTTTATCGCTTCATTGAGTCGATCCGGCATGGAATCCACGAGATTTCTCAAAAGACTTGGGCGGATGGTGGTCCAAAGACGTTGAATGTGAACCCATAAGGCGGCCTTCGAATCTAATTTCTTTCCCTTGAGGCGCGACTTCACAAATAACCACAAATGTTCAATTGGATCGAGATCCGGTGAGTAAGGAGGTGGATTGATCAATTTAACACGATTTTCCGCAAACCATCCTGGCAGACGAGCTCTGATACTATTTTGAAGTGTCACCAACCGTCCCATCATCAGTCTCGACTTGTGTTTCGGGTCGTTGTCCTGGTGAAGCATCCATCCGGGAGGCATCGTTTGATTGGCAAAGGGAAGCATTTGGGTCTCCATAATATTCTTGTAAGCCACAGTATCCATCGTCGAGTTCACATAGACTAACGGACCTACTGAAGTTCGAGACATCGCTCCTAAAGAAAAAAAATTAGGTAACAAAATACTAAAAAGGTTCTTACCCCAACACATTATGTTTCCACCGTCTTAAATCTTATAATCCTGAAAAGTAGAGTATTATGGGTAAGCAAAATACCCTACACCTTTTGGGAATATCGTTATTTTGCAAGATTTTCGTACGAAAGAAACTTTTGGATGGCAATGGGACAATACATTTGTGGACCACTGTATATGTCGTAGCTGATTATGAATGAAATTTTTTGGCAAATCTTTCTAGTAGAGCAACCCTTTAATGTATGAGGACAATATTATATCATCTTGTAGCGAATTGAATTCTGCGTTGATTGGTACCAAATTTGTGAGTTTAGGTTAAAAATGACCGGCGCTACAACGTTTCATTCAAAATCGGCGGGACCCCCGTAGCCGATTATGAATGAGTGGGTCTAGGAGCGTCCAACCATCAAGTATTTGGTATCATTCAACGCAGAATCATTGATAATTATGTTAAATTTTTAAAATTAGCAAGATTTGATGAAAAGAAAAAAAATTAGAGCAAAAAACTGTTTGTTCAAGAGAAAACTTTGAAGCCCCATAATTTGTGTTCTTTTTATCCAATCTTTCCAATTTTAAAAATTTAACATAATTATCAATGATTCTGCGTTGAATGATACTAAATACTTGATGGTTGGACGCTCCTAGACCCACTCATTCATAATCGGCTGAAATTCATAATCGACTACGACATATAAAAGTGTTCGTCTGTACGGGCTTTTTCTCAGCCATGGCGACAAAACTGTCCGTCAGCCTCAAAACACTCAAAACATGGTGTTATAGATACTGAAAAGGGTTTTAAAATTAGTAAACTCTGTTCTATAATACAAAAAACTTTCTCTAGGCCTGTTCACTTTCGGTTCCGAGGGTCGTCTCTTCCTCAATCGACAACCATTCGATAGTGAAATGAACAAATATCATCAACTAAACATCACCGCTCAGAACTCGCGAGGAGTTGACTCGGTCTTGGTTAGTCAAGTTTGACGATCGTTCTTAACAACAAGATTTAGTACAATGTATACGTGGAAGGTCCACCAAATACTCGAGGATCTTCCGTAGACGAAATTCCCGATAAAGCAATCTGCACTTTCCCGAAAAATGTTTACGATGCTCAGGCAAGATTTTGACATCAACTTCGCATTGTTTTTAAAATTTTATTGTGTATAAAAAGGATTCAAAGTATTCAAACTCTTCAGATCCCGGAGAATCTCGAAGGGCGACACAAGTTGACAAAAGTGACATCAGACTGTGAATCAAATAGAAAACCCTATGAGTATGTGTTGTGGAAAGGATCAGGTAAAAAAAGCAAAAATTTTTACTTGAAGTTTGAACCTTTAGATCAATTCGAGATTGATCGAAAAACTGGGGAGATTTTTGTGAATGGAGCGCTTGATCGAGAGACAAGATCAATTCATTTTCTCTTCATAAATGTCACCAAATCAATCGTTGAGCAAAGAAAAGAAAAAAGAGAATCAATAAATCCAGTTATTGAACGTAAGCGAGTTAAATTGTTTCATTTAAACAAAACTTTAGATGCAAAGTCGAAATTGGAAGTCTGGCAAGCGTTGGTTGTGATTCGGGTAGAAGATCTCAATGACAATGCACCCCGCTTTGTCCGTCTCAGCCCTGAAGGGAAATATTCAGCTGTACTCGATTATCAGGCTGATCCTAGAAATACGCACATTCTGCAACTACAGGTGGAGTCTAATTGAAGTGTGGAAAGTGTCTGGCTTGAGTTGGTTTTAAAAATTTATTGTAAAAGTCCTTTAGGCTCAAGACAACGACGAGAAAACCCAATTTGTTTATGGAATTTATGGCGAAGACGAGGATTTATTCGTTGTGAATGCAACAACTGGAGATCTATATTTGGAAAAGATCGTTCATGATGATCAGAAGTAAGACAGATCATTCAAACAATTCTATTAGGTTGTTCGGATATAAACGTTCGGAGCGTTCGGATATAAACGGTAAAGTAAGCAGACGCGAACTTGATGTTCGAAGTCGGTCATGTTTATATCCGAACAACCTAATAGTATAATAGAAAGGGATATTCAAAAGTATCTTTGTCCATCTCATATCAAGTAATGTTTAGGAAAGAATATCATTTGACGGGCACGGTAGCTGATGGAGCACATGTCAGCGAGATTCCTATAACGGTAATTAAAAAAAAAAACATAATGATACTGATAAAATTGCTTATTTTACTGAACATTTTCAGATCTACAAGTTACATCCAGACTGGAACTTAGTTCAGTTGACCGTTGAAAAGGGAAGCAATGAAGTTGATGTGAAAGTCGGTTTTCTAGAAAGTTATTTCAGCTATTTCTATTGCAGTTATTGGTTAATCTTCTCAATCACCTCACTAATACTGAAATGCACGCACTTGTGAAAGAACCGTTTACGGGAAGTGATGGACAAATCGATCCAACAAGGTACAATTTTTGAGAAAGCTATAACTATTGCGAATAAGTTGTGTACTGTAAGTTTATTAAAAATTTATTTAGAACCTTTGTTTATGTCTATGGATTGGAATCAAAGACGAAGAAACCGATTGAGAGAAACAAATTGAAGGGATTACTCGATCGTTTCTCGATGGCCTTGTTGACATCGGAGACGAAGTATTATTTTGCATAACATATTAGGCTATCCAGAAAGTCTTTTCATTTCTTTTCATACTTCCATTTAAAACCAATAAACACACCAATTAAACTACGGTTTGTTTCATTAGAAAGGCCAATGATTTTTCTAAGAAATAACGTTAAAACGGCTTTAAAATGTCTCATGTCTGATTTTTTTGGGAGCTTGAAATCTTTGAAGGTCTTGGAGTATGAAAAGGAACGAAAAAACTTTCTGAATAGCCTAATAACATAATAATTGAAATTCAGAGTGTCCTCGATTTCCCTATCATCTCCTTCTCCATCCACATCACTCTCATCCGTCGACCTTTTCCTTCTTTTCCTTTGCCTCGTTCTTCTCCTCGTCGCCTGCATCATTTGTTGTGTTGTTGTCAACATTTGTAAGAGGTGGGAATTCTTGAAACTGAAATGAAAATTAAATAAAGATCTTGCACTTGAGTTTATGCTAAAAAGCTTATGCTAATGTTCGACTCTCAAATCTAGGCGAGAAGAGAAAGGAATCGGCAAGGATTACATGCGTTCATCACCACATTCCGGTCCACGTCCTTATGATGTATCAGTGATTCCCCGTGCAACCGCACAGGCTGTCCTTGCTGGGAGACCTTTGCCTGATCCCATGCAGTTCAAGTGAGTTGATTTAATGTGAAAGTTGTGTTTATTTTCAAATTTTTATTTCTACTTCCAGTGAGAACAAGCACTCGCCGGGCAGCTCAACCGACGGGAGACGATCGACGAACAGAAGCGATGAACTGCTTGTGTTCGCCAATTCTGTTAGGTAGGATATTGTTTATTCATATCCACTTATATTGATTAAATATAACAAATTTAGATCTTGAAAATCTAAAATAGAAATGCTTTTTGCAGGGAATACGGCGGACGAGAGAACGGCGCATATGACACGAATTCGGATCGGATATCTGAGGGAAAAGTTCGTTTTGGTAGAAGTCTAGAAAAGATGTTATAAATCAAATTTGTTAAGAAACACATCTAATTTGGAAGTTTGAAAGATATACTTAAAGTGAATGTGCTTTTAAATACAAATGAGCTCAAAAATCATTCCTCTTTTCCAGTCCAATCCCGCGAATCGGCACTCGAGTGGACGGGATTCCGCGTAAATTTCCCCCAATTTCTCAATGTAATATGCTCACTGCTTACGTTTTCTTAAGTATTTTCAATTTCCCCCGTATTTCTTGCTTGTTTTTACCTCAATTTATGATGCTTGCCCCCATTTCTCCAAAAATACACTCCCCCAAACGTATCGGGTTAAATCAGTGTAATCTTTCATTTTATTTTTCTAAAATTTACATATCTCAAATGTTCATATTGCCCAAATCTTTCTTTCTTTTCTATTTGGTGCTCAACAAAGATCCCAGTCATCTCTGAAAAGTGTCTTTCATTTCATTTCATTTCTGTATCTTTTTCAGCATTCTTTCACTCATTGAGAGTAATAAACGATTTTGTTTGCCGTATACCGTATTCTCTCTAATAGTAGTGCACTCTCTAATAGTATTGCGGTCCGGGAGGGGGTTGAAAAAATAGTAGTGCACCCTCGAAAATTTGAATTTCTGGTGCTTCTTTTTCATCTAAACCTTTTTGACTTTATGTTTATGTGACATTTTAAAGCTATTCAAGCAAGCAAAAGTGAGGCTTTTTTATTCATTTATTAACTATTCTTCACATGAAAAAGTTAGCAAAAAATCTAAAATTGTTGTGCAAAGTGCAAAAACATCTTTTTGTTGTTTGTCAAGACACAAATTGTCAACTCGCCGGCCCACAACTGTATGTCAAAAGGAGCCAAAGGAGTGCGTGAAAGAGTTGCAAGAATTTTTGGAACAAATCTTATATCTGTCTTACTTTGGTAAATGATAAAACTCTTTAATAGTCGTGCACTCTCTAATAGTATTGCGGTCCAGGAGGGGGTTGAAAAAATAGTAGTGCGCACTACTATTAGAGAGAATACGGTAACTCAAAAAATAACCAAATGACATACAAATAAAAATACAAAATCTATTCAGTGAATAAAATATAAATGCTATGGAAAAAAGGATGCCGTTTTACGAAGGAAATTTGCGTAGATGAGCAGGGATGATAGGTGGGAAAAGAGGGAAAAAGCCGCTCTGATCCCTCTCGATCCATTCTCCCCTCGTCTTCGAGATTTCGATCATCTCATTCATTTGAATAATTTCCAATCCCATTCGATGCTTCTCATCTCGGTACTTGCATTTCAAAGCCTCTATTTTTTCACTCTTTCTGTCAAAGTTGATCTTGTCAGCACGACCCAGTCACTCCTATCAGCTACGTTCAGCTCAACCACACAGTCATTTCCAAGTTTGTTTGATTTAATCAAGTTCTAATTTTATCCAACAGATTCAAAGCTTTCTGGCCTTCTCTAGATCTGTCAAATTGAAAATTTTAGCTGAAACGAGCCTCCCCTTTGCTTTGAATGTTACGACAGAAAAAAGTATGCTACTTTTAGATCTTTTGAAAACTTGATTTAGAAGAGAATTCATTGATTTCATCATCGACAGTGAATTCGATTGAAACTGGTTCTTTTAAGAGCTTCAGAATAGAATTAGATCAGAATTTAGGCGAGACACACTCAATTGAAAACATTGCAAGAAAAGCCGTCGAAACAACAAGTCTCTCGTTGATTTCAACAACAAAAAATGGCGCAAATAAACCGATGTTCAAAGATAAAGTAAGTAAATATTTAGTAATAGTCGTTTCTGGAAATGTTTTCTGAAATAGAGTCTTTCAATTGATGCAAATAATTTCAGCTCCTTCGCCCATTTGGCTTTGTGATCAAACCTGAGCGAAAAGTGTGCACAGACACAACGAGAGTCTTTATTGCGATTCATTCAGGTTAGCAAAAATCATCTTAAAAATTGAAAGAAACTTTGAGAAAATCTGCCGTATTTCTTCGAATAGAAAGACCGGGTAAAGAGTATCATCGCGTACTCCTGCGTAGCAGCCCTTTTTAAAATTTCTTTTCTGCATAAAAGCTTTCAATCAAGTGCTATAGAGCTGGAAAATGGCTCAAAAATACCACATGAGCTAACAGATTTTTGAGCCATTTTCCAGCTCTATAGCACTTGATTGAAAGCTTTTATGCAGAAAAGAAATTTTAAAAAGGGCTGCTACGCAGGAGTACGCGATGATACTCTCTTTACCCGGTCTTCTATTCAAAGAAATACGGTAATTGACAAATTGGTTAGCTTATATGCTGATAGCTTTCATAGAAAGGCTACAACATTGGCTACAACATTTGTCTTTATAGAATTTGTATTGGCTTTTGAAATTTTTGCAAAACTGCAAAACCTTGTTCAGCCGCTTCAAATTTCGGTCGACGTCAAGTGATCCGAGAGACTTATGCTCAAAGGAAATTACAAGAACGGGTAAGGAAAAGAATTTTTTTTTGTTTAAAAACCACTTGCACCGAATATTCTATCAAAAACTTTAGTACGAATTCTCATTTCTTTTCACATTGGGTCTTCAAGAATCGGATCTCTTTCAAAAATGGATTGTCGCCGAAGCAAAAGAATTTGACGATATTCTCCAGGGAAATTTCCAAGAACACTATCACAATATGACAATTAAGGTAAGAAGAGGCGATGCGATGGCGATAAGCGATGAAGAAAATAACAGTTTATATCTAGAAACTAATCTGGATGCGTTACGCGATGGGAAACTGTCAGAAAACGAAATGGATTGTCCATTTGGATGATGATGCACTTCTTGATATACACTCACTCATCGATTTCTTTGAAAACAAAAAGTACGTTGGCTTTGAAAATTGAAAATTTTCCTCAAGTTTTCCTTTAGAGTCTTTGATTCGAATACTTTATATTGTATGGCGATCTCGTATAATCAAACGCTCGTCGTCAGAAATCCGTATAGCAAATGGTGAGTGGAGAAAGCTCCAAGTAAATCACAAATGTAAGGTTCGTTTCCGAAGATGCCTATCCTCTTGATTTCTATCCAAAGTATTGTGCTGGAGCGGCTTACATTCTTCCCCAAAAAGCACTGTATTTGATGGATGAGGCGATTAAAGGAATGGAATATATTACGGTAACAATGCATTGAAATATTCTTAGGTTGGAAAGAAAATTCTCGGAAAAAGTTTGACTGGAGTTTCTTAAAAACGAATCCATCAATTCAAGAACATTTTGTTCTATTATTTACAATTCGACTCCAAGAAATTACTCGTAAAAAAATGAATGCAGCTTTTCCTTGAAATTTTAGAGATTTTTGAAAAATTATGATTTTCCAGCTTAAATTCAGCTCACTTTTTGCACCAGAAAAAGGATTCCTTATGAGGTAAAGCTAGCATAAATGAGCAATACGCTCTATAATCTCTATTTTTGGCCAACAAATTTTTTACAGAGAAGCTGTATTTCAAAAAATAATTTTTTGGTGCCATCTTCTTGGCACTTTGTGTTTGCTAAAATAGGTGATTCTGAAAAGTTAAAACATTAGATAAAGTTTGCCTTAATCACAAATTTTCCCTATTTTAAGTTTCAAATGGGACCCATTGCCTATCCATTAACCCATTAAAAACTTGTCTAAAGGCTGTCACTCAAAAAGTGACCAAGTCACTTCAGCTGAAGAAATCTCTTATATTTTTACTTGAAGCCCACTCTGATTTTTTTTTGTCAAAAACTTTTTGAAATATAGACAAGTTTATCAAAAAAAATCTGGGAAGAATTTATGGCTTGGTTTTTGAGAAATCACCGTGCAAACTTTTGCTACGAACTTTCTTGTCAACCTAATAGTTTGTATAAGAAAAATGTTTCTTCAGTGACTAAAACATGAGTTTCTAGGTGGATGACGCTTTTATCACTGGAATTGTTCGTGAGGCGGTGGGAATCGATATTCGACAACTTCTTCCGTTAGTTACAATATTTTTTTATAGATTTGATCTTACAAATGATGTTGGCTTTATCTTGCTAAGAGGTTGATCCTAATTTTCAGAAATGGAATCGTTCGGCATGAGCTCGATCCATTGATTCACAAATTTCAAACGGGAAGGGCGGTAAAATTTCTTTATCCAACTCAATTTCCCTATGACATTCCAGGTGATGGCTGAGTGTCCGAATGAACATTGTATGAGACATTTATGGGAAATGTAAGACATTTCTTGAAACTATAATGCAATACATACACTGTCAAGTTTGCTATTTCAGCCGATTTGCTTAGCCTCATTACTTCTGCTTTTCAAAAGTGTTTCAGAATCAATTCTCTTCACAAACTTACCCAAAAACCAAACGTCAACATCTCAATCACGACAATTCCCGATTATCACCCAATGGAAGTCGAGATTTTGTAAGGGTTTTCAAATCCAAAAACAAATTTCTTTGTTTGACTATGAGTCTTTTCACAGGGTTCGTTACGGTGAGACGATTCACTTTGATGGTGGAATCGATGTGCAAAGTCTTTATGAGCTCAATTCAACGCGAGAGGTGAAAGAGATAATTCTTTAGCTTTTCCTTTATATGATTCTTTTCCAGATCACTCTTCCGCAATATGTTCGCTATCCTCGAAAGCTCATCTTCATTTCACTCACTTTACCAATTTCGCTCATGATTCTTCTCTTTCTCTGTAAAATCTGTGTCTTTCTTGCGAATTTCTTTGAGGAATACTACAAAAAACGAGTGTTTACCGAATAAACTTTCATTCGTAAGCAATGCTATTGAAAGAATGCTAAAGAAAAGAAGAAAAGAAGAAAAGAAGTAAAAACCACAACCAAATAGAGATGAAAAAGATAGGAATATTTGAAGAATTGAATAATTGAATAATTGAATAATTGAAGAATTCGAAGAGTTGAAGAATTGAATAATTGAATAATTGAATAATTGAAGAATTGAATAATTAAATATTTAAATAACTCCTTCTATATTATGATGAGATACACAGTATCGGTAGAAATAAGTTTCAGGGTGAATTCAACTGGGCGAATGTAACTGGGTATTGTTATGATGGACTTTCAAAGAACACATTTTAGAATCGCAAATCGTACTAGAAACTAAAAGAATCGATCACTGGATGGGAAAATCATCAAAAATAATATCACTGATATGTATCGCTTAGATTGCAAATTGGACTACTATGTACTTGGAAAGGAATTGCATATAATTACAATGTGAAAAAAAAGAAATTGTGTCAAACATTCACAAGCAACTCCCACTTATTTACTTGGCCACCCCATTTTGGTGTCCATTTTGTTGAGCGAGCTTTTTGTAGTAGGAAGCGAGGACCGTCCACGCCTTTGGAGCCATGAAACCATCGGGAGGAGTTTGACCCGAACGAGCAAGACCGCGCATCTGCAAATTTGAATTCGATTCCTCAATGAGATATTAGGCTTTTCCTACTTTTGTACTTTCGTTTAAAAACAACAAATGCACCAATTGAACTACGGTTTGTTTTATTAACTGAACCATTGCTATTTTAGACAAATAAACTCTTGCCCACCTTCGTTCCCGAGATAAACTCGAATTCCTCTTTTCTTTTCGGGTCAAAGAAAGCCATTCGGCCAACCGATTTATCGTAGGCGGCCACACGGAATGGAAGAATCGACAAGTGAGAGAGACCCGGAGCCATCGATAAAACCTACAAATGTCTGCAATTTTTCTCAATCTTTTCTCCACAAACCTTTGCTCCATGCTCTGGATGATAGAGGAAATCTCCATTCTCTGGATTCTGGATACCGGCTGGATCTCTTCCCACAATATATGTGTGCACTCCAGCAGCAATTCTTGCTCTCGCATGCCATTGCACTTCCGTTGGACCGGCGTAGAGCATTGGAGAAGGGAAAATTGAGAGAACTGTCCAAGCTGGATCAAGAATTCCTTCCTCAATCACTGCCTACAAGTTTACAATTATTTCAATTATTTATTTTCAGAATTCTACCTGATGTTGCTCAATTCTGACTGGAAGTGGAACGTCATCGTCCTTTGTCCATCCACCGAGAGGGTGCAAGAGAAGCATGGGGTTCTGAAGGGGAAAAACCTTCAGTTAAGCAGTCTATTGAACTGTACCTTATATTTTTTGAGCAGCTTCTCCCTCGTATCTCTCATCAACAAGGCGTGTCCATTGTGAATCGGATTTCTCAATTGAAAGACGAACACGGCGTCGGCTCCCTTTTGATCGAAAATTTGCCGCAACTCGTTCGGCGTTCGGCGATAGCTGTCCAAGCCGTCATTGTACGTGATACGCTCCAACACCTGTAGAAGTTTTCAAATGAAATTGACAAAGAACGAATCTATCTAGTTGTCTTAAATAATTCCTTACCTGCAAATCGCCACCCAAGCAGAAATCGCCGCTTTTCTTGATGAGATCGATGGTCGGATGACGAGCGTCGGCACAGCCGAATTGCCGGCAAACCCGTTCCTCTTTGCGATGGTCAAACACCTCACCCTCCTGGAATGCACTTTAAAATTGATCATTTGAAAATTTTTGAAAAAATAAAAACGTTGTTGTTGTTTGTTGAACAGTATTGGAAAGATACCATTTTATACTTTTCACAAAATTGTTTTCTAAAGTGAACCTTCCACGTCTGTCTAGGTTGTTACTAGGAACGTCTTGTAGTCAGTGCCACTTTATTTTGTCATCCCCTTTGGTTCTACATTGTTGTGTGCGAGTTGATTGTGATTCTTTTAATCGTTTTCATTATTCTGGATAAACGCTAACTGTTATTCCGCAAGCAAGTCGATCACGTCATGAGGATCTACTACTACAACAAACAAGGTCTTTAAAAACGTTTTTGATATTGATATTTGGTAGTTCAAAGTTGCCATGCCTTACCTTGAGAATTGCGAGAACTTTTCCTTTATAGACGAGCGCCACTTCGGGGAGAATAGTTCCATCAGCTAAATCATGATGAAATAGATAAATAATTTAAGGCTTTTAAAGATCTTAGTTTATAAGATCATATATTTGATGTTGAAATTATCGAATTATTCAAACGAACCAGCGGTGATCGTTTGTTTTTGTTCGAGGGTGATCGGCAAAACGATTGGAATCGATTGATTCACTGAGTCCAACATCGGGTATGGATCCTGAATTTGGTTTTAGAAATGATCCAATATCTTTTATTTTCTTTATATAGTTTCTTTCTCACTCTCACCTGTGCTCCATCATCGTTGTCGCCGGGGAAAGCGCATTTGTGCTTCAAATCCAACAATTGACCAAAGTGAAGAGCCTGAAAATGAGGTTTCTGAATGTTTATCGATAACATGCAAGCATACTTCAGAACTGTTCTTTATTGATAATGTTTGTAGTCATTGATCAATGCTTTGTTTTTGTTAAAAGAGAATAGCATTACCTGCAAGTATTGCCTTTCTCGCATGAAACCACCAAGAGGAGTGCCCCAGCCTTCGGACAAAACCTAAAGTTTATTGCTTTCAGTTTTGGAGATAATAGCTTTGTCATTTTACAGAACCATGATCATTTTCACTGTTTTGCCATTTATCCCACCTGCAACCATTCCACATCAATGTGCTGCAGCTCAACTTTGGCAAGCGCTTGTGCTTGTGTGTTCAGCGTTGATCGAATCGACACATCATTCACGATTAATTCTCTCACCGGTGACGTCATCAATTCATCCATCGCCTAAACATTTCTCTATAACTTCTGCACTTCTTACTTTCCATGCTGTTAGCTCTACTACACGACAAGTTTTTTTGAGGCCCAAAATATTTCAAGCGATACATTCATACAACTACTTCACAACAGTTTGAGGAATTGAGGATGGTTTTAAGCCTTTTTGAGAATTAATTGAGGGAAATGTATATTAAACTTTCCAGTAAGTCTTTTCGTTTGAACGAAAAGACTTTCTGGACAGCCTAATAGATGTGAATGTTCATGCTTGGGGGTTCTCCGACTAATTATCATCACTCTACCATGAGCCATAACGCTCGGCGATCAATCTGAAATGATATAAAGGCTGAAAAGTTGTTGATACGATAGTTTTTGTTGTCAAAATGCCATGATTTCTTGGCAAAAATGATTTACCTTTTGTGGAAGAATGCCCAAATCGTAGAGATAGTGAAGCACTTGATGAACAGTCTCAGCCTCGGAGCGGTTCTCCGTTTGAACCAGCTGAAAGAATAAAAGTACTTAATGAAGATTGAAACTCGACTAAATAATTGTAAATAAGATATTATATGAAAATATAACTTTAAACTTTAAACTTAAAAAAAACCCTCACCAAATCGGGTGTCTCTGGCGGCTCGTAGGCGGAATCGATGCCGGTGAAACCGGGCAACTCGCCAGCTCGCGCCTTTTTGTAAAGTTCTGAAAAGCTATTTTGTTGAAAAACTATAGGTATAGGTAGATGTATGGCTTTAGAAATTTTACTTTTAACTTTTACATATGCTTTTACAAATTTCATGTTTAAAGACGAACTTTTTGGGTCACGGGTCTCGCAAATCTCGAGTGGCGTGTTCACGTAGACCTCGATAAAGCGAAGCCCTTCCTGAAATTGAAGGAATATGAAAATCTAATCAATTAAAGCTTTACTCACCGCATCGTGAATTTTTCTCGCTTGATCACGATCAGCTCGGAAAGGAGAAATGAATGAGGCAAGACAAACCATTCCAGCATCTGCCATCAATTTGGCCACCTGAATTTCGTGATTTTGGAAAAGAAGTGACAGATGATAATTCTAATTAGACATAGTGCAGCGATTAATTTCGTTTTTAGAATGCATACCTCAGCGACGCGGCGGATGTTCTCGGAACGATCACCCATGTTGAAGCCGAGATTCCTGCAGAGACCATGACGGACATTGTCACCATCAAGTCCATAACAGGGAAGACCCAACTAGAAAATAAATGTTAAACATAATAAGGACATAGTAGTTTTAACAAATGATCTATGGTTTGATGACCTTGCTCAGAATTCTGTTCATTTTGATTTGGTTAGTTGGGATCTAAGGGCCGCAGTGTTCTGGTGGAAAAAGTGACTGCAGGCGGAGTCGAACCCCGCATCCTCCGATTGAGAGAGAGACGTTCTGGCAATCCACCATGAGGATACATTGTTTGCTTTCTTTTCTGCGCCCCTTTCCTCTCAAGGGGTTTTCTGTGCTACTCTTCTTTATTGAGAATCCTAGGAGGTGTGGTTCGTTGCACTTCAAGCACTAATGCTTACTGCAAGAGTCTATATTTCCAGCTGTTTTTAATCAAAAGATCAATTTTTGAAACTATTAATTGAACTAGGCACCTGAGCAAACAAAACACCTGACAAAATGTAAATAGGCTCAAGTACGATGGTCATTGGATGAGATTTGATGAGCTTTCAAGTCTGATATCAAGGGGGTTTTGAGTTACAAAAGTATCTCTGTAAATCGATCCCAAACACAAACATTTTCTTCACCCCTTCTTTCAAAAAAAATATCCGGATTTTGCTCTAGGCATTTTTCGTGGCAACCACAGCACAGGTTTCTTTCTTTTCTTTGAAATAAAAAAGGACTGTGATGCAAGGGATTCCCTAAAGACAGTCATCTCCCTCACTCACTCAGATTTCCATCATTTTCGATTCTCCCCTTCTCCCCATCCATCCATTTCATCTATTGTCTAATCTCGGACTATCCACTGTTTTTTTCCTTTTCCCCTTTTTTCATTTTGTCACTTTTCGATTCATTTCAAAGAGTGTCATCAATTTGAAT